TGATCACTGACAACCTTATGATTTACATTTATCAGTGTGTCTCAAATCGTTATTTTATTTATTTATTTTATTTGGACGCATAAATATTGGTGCAAGAGAGCGCCAATATATATGCGCCACACAAAACAATGAGAGTTCGAAAAGAAAAAAAAGAGAACAATAACGAAGAGATTGGTGTAAGGTAGTGTAGTAATAATAATAGTAATAACGAGGGGACGGAAAGGTACAATCAGAAGTGATCTTTCAGTTATGGAAGATACAACCACTTTTTATGAAGAAAGTAAAAGAAGGTTACAGCAGGATCGCCACTGGCTTCTATTCTGAGCCATATCTGATAACGTCTCTAGCCACTGTGTAGCACCATCTCTCGGACCCCAACCAGGGAGTCGTGAAGGACCAACGCAAGCCAGTCCTTTGCAGCTTTCTTTCATACCACGGCATCATGTCATACACTGACCACCTCTCCGCTTTTTCCAACCAGTCCCAGAGTCGGCAAATAATGCACGACGTGGAATTCTCTGGGACGACATTCGTAAGATGTGTCCAAGCCACCGAAGTCGGTGTTTCAAGATGGTGACATCGATTGCGTTATCATCTCTGTGCCCGAACACACGATGCCGAACCTCTGCATCACTGACATGGTGTTACCTCTAGATGCCAGCGATCCTTCGGAGACAACGATGATCGAGCACAAAGAGTCGTCCAACGTCCTCAACTCGGAGAGGCCAGGTTTCACAAGCATAGAGCAAAACTGTTCTCACCGACGCGTTGTAGATCCGGCCTTTTACAGCCACACTAACATAACGAAGGCGCCAAAGATGGCCCAGATTGGCATAAGCCGCTCTGGCTTTCACTATACGTGCATTGATCTCATCACTCACACCCCCACCAGCACTTATGCAGCTACCCAGATACACGAACTTCTCGACTACGTCTATCTGCTCACCATCCAGGGTGAGTACAGGATTAGAATCCTGCCAGTCTTGTAGAAGTACTTTGCACTTCAAAGGTGCAAAGCACATACCATACCTACGGACACTGATTGCCAACTGATTAAGTGCGGATTGCATGGTTTGGGCATTATCGCACAGTAAGACAATATCATCCGCATACTCAAGGCCGAAAAGTCTTTCTCCAGGTAACAGATCCACGCCACCATTACTTACATCCATCAGAGCTGTTTTCAGGATGTCATCGATGGCAAAGTTGAAGAGGAATGGTGAGATTGGGCAACCCTGCCTAACCCCACTACTCGAATGGAACAATGGAGAGAGGTGGTTGTATGCCCTCACTCTGCCTAAGGTGTTTGTATATAGGGCTTTTAGGATGTTAATAAACTTCTCAGACACACCCTTCTTCAACAGACAATCCCAGAGAACAGTCCTATCCAACGAATCGAAGGCAGCCCTGATATCAAGAAACACTATGATTGTTGGCCTTTGATAAGTATGGCGGTGTTCTAACATTTGGCGGAGGGTGAAGATATGATCAATACATCCTCGGCCAGAACGAAACCCAGACTGCTCCTCGCGAGTCAATCTTTCTCGGGTTTTGAACAACCTACGAAGTATGACGGAAGCCAATAGCTTGGACGCAATCGGAAGTAGACTTATCTCCCGATAGTTGTTACAGGAACGACGTGAACCCTTTTTAAAGATAGGGACAACTATCGACTCATTCCATGACGTTGGTACACTCTCTAGTTCACAGACGTTTGTGAACAACGTCGTCAGTTCCTTAATCAGAAAGTCACCACCATCTTTAGAAAGAGCTGGAGGTAAGTCATCTGGATCCGGTGATTTGTAGAATTGGAGTTCCTTGCGGGCTTCCGCCTCATTTGGTGGATCAGTCGTCATCGACCATGGAGGGCAGGACAGTCTGACCAATGTTACCGGAGCAGCAGGCCAGTTGAACTGCCCTTCGAAGAATTCTGCCCATCGTCCAAGACGTCGATTGATGTTAGTGATTGGCATTCCATCATCCTCACAGATTGTTTCGCTCACACCAGACTTCTTGCTGCCAGTGGCTCGGATGAGCTGGAAGAGCTTCCGGTAGTTACCAGATGCAGCTGTTACCTCCAACTCATTAGCACGCTTCGACCACCAGGCTCCTTGGTCCTTACTCAAGCTTTGCCCAATTTCCTTACGTAACGCAGAGGGAGGACGCCAGGTAGCACATCGGCGGTGACTGTGCCGGAAGTTAGTGCTAGCCAGAAAAAGGTTGTGCTCTGTGCACAGTTGCAGTAGACGGTCCCCGTTATCTGTCCTGCGACCGATAAGTCCCCATCGGCCACCTAGACGACTCTCTTCTGTGCCTAAAGGCCCGACCTGCGCATTCAAGTCTCCGGCTAGTACTACAATATTTGTCGAACGCACTTTCTGGAGAAGAACAGATAACTGGTGGTAAAACTCGTCCTTGATTGCATCCGGGCTGCAATCTGTCGGGGCATAGGCGGAGATGACGAAAAGACATCGTTTCTCACGCTTTCTTCTCACTTTGATGGAACTTTCTAATCTAACAGCACATAACCGACTGTTAATGGGGATCCAATCGATTAGTGCTGCCTCAGCTCTAGCGCTTAGTGCGACACCAACGCCAGCAAGACCAGACGAAGATGCCACGCGGTCCTCGGATAAGCGCACGTAAAACAAGCTTTTCGAAACGACAGACGAAGAGCGAATTTGTAGTACTTCACCAGAGTCTTGAATACGGGTCTCGGATAGACAACACACGTCGATATTAAGACTTTCCAAAGACATAGCCAGCCCTATCTGTCGTTCAACCTGCATAAGTGTGCGAACGTTGAAGGCAGCCAGTTTGAATGGTGCACGTAGTTTCAGAAAAACTGCTTCAGTACTCATATTCAGTGGTTACGTACAATTTTCAACCAGACAGTGACTCGAGAATGTTTAGATAGAGTCGAATTTCCGCCAAAGACGAGCCACTGTATAAGTATAAAAAAAGGTGAATAATGTGGTAAATAATAACAATAATAATGATAATAATAATAAAAGTAATAATAATCACTTGAATCATTTGATTGTTAGTTGAAGCAAGTAAAGTAGTTTCCATAATTATAGGCAGTTCATCATATTTGTGTGTGGGCTGTGATACTGCCCGGGTGCCCAAACCGAAGCAGGTGGTTATCTTAGGGGGCCACACCCCGAGCCTTTGACCTAAAGGCCTAGCCTTCAAGGCAGTGGAGCATCGTTAGGAGATGCAGTCTCATGGTAGCCGGTGACCAACGATTGGTTCGTACGCCCTTTGTTCCCGCAGGATACTGGGGTCCATGTGCACCATTGGTTTGGGGTCCGGGTAAAGCGCCGGACGTTCGCTTTCCGTCCTCTCATTTTCGTAAACAACACCCGTGGTGCGAGAAGGCAGTCAGTAGGACTTCCCTGGTAGAGGCTGTACACGCGTGGCCGTGTGAGAGTATTTCGAGAGGGAGAGCGGACTCTCCCCACTCTCGACCGAACCAGGGCATTTGGGGGCGTGACTCAAATCAAGAGTTGGTGTGCCCCTAGCTTTCCTTCAACCCACTTTCATATCAGGTAACCGTGCATCAGAGTAAAGGTTGGTTTAGTATACGTTATGTGTTCTAACCATCTCAATCAATGAGGACTCACAACCCCGATCGATTTATAATTTTTGCCTAATATCTTATACCGTAGTTCAGGGTTGGTTTTGGTTGTTCCACGTAACACCAGCAGTGGTTAAGGGGTATTTATAGTCGAACAGTAGCGACCTTCGAATATCGTCTATTTCCATAAACCACGTTTCATAGCCATAAAGTAAACAGAGCGAACTCCTGAATAAAATTTTCGTTCTTTGGTTCTCAGATGAAAATCTAACAGAAGTCGCAAATTGGGCAGGCAACCGAGTTTTCCAAATCTTTACCCAGATTTTGTCGTTGAAAAGTAAAATGGACAACGAATTTAACTGCCATTAGTGTAGGCATGAAGATTTGAATCACTTAGGAAATTAAAATTATTTTATACCTTTTCTTCTACAAACTAAATTTTTCTAACTATATCATATCCTCATATGCAATCTTTATTTATATATATTACTACTATTAAAATAGCTGCTTCTATGTACTTGGTGTTCACCTTGTTGTGCTAATGGGGTATGGCAACTTGAACCGATGCATATATGTGCCTGGAATAACGTTGTACATGACTGACTGAAGACCAGTCCTGAAACAAAACTTCGAATTTGGAGCGAGTGAAACGCATTCATGAATACGCTTGCATTTTTTCTCAGTGCGATTAGAAGTATAAATTTTGTGAGCGTTCTCACCAAAAAACTAAATCTGCACGTTATAAATCAATAAATCGGTCTCATAACAAAAGACCAACACCCTAACTTAAATATACTCATTTCCACTTCTTCCACGCGATAGTTCAACTATATCAGTACCCAATAACTCATTTCGGTACTTAATTTTTATGTGACTAATCTTTTGGGATCTTGATAGACTAATGTACCTTCCATACTCCGACATCGTTTTGTACATCCTCCCTGTGTGTAAGTTACCATTATCTACGTCTGACAGCTTTTCATCTTATTTCGATCTTCGTATTCAATGTCTTCATGAAATACACACGAGATACGACCAACTCTAGAACTGTGGAATAATATAACACCCTACCAGTAGTGCTGGGAATTTCGACAAGAGTCACATGGATCTACCCTCCCGGCTTATCTAGCTCATAAATTTTTAGAAGGGGATTTTGTGGAGACTTTAGTAATTTCAATTGTTGAGATCATGAATCAATTGAAGCTAGAACACCATGGAAAACCTGGAAGCACTGGACGGCCATTTTGTTCCAGTATGGGACTTTTCTGCAGTGCGTATCCACTATTCCGCCTCGCAGGATTCGAACTCTAATGTTATCCCTTTAAGTTTTCAAGGAAGCTTTGATTACGTTTTAAAACATATTGGCTCCAGTATATCTCTATGATTTACGATTTACATGAATAATAATTGGACATTTCAGATGGCGTTGTATGGTGCTCCGTTTCCCAGATATATAACTTATACAGATTGGTTACATGATGCATGTAATACTGACGATGTTTATTATACATATAATGGGCGCATAGTAAATAATATGGAAGAAATTCCTGAATGTGCTTTGTTGAACGTGCACTATCGTTTGCGCGGTGGTAAAGGGGGTTTTGGATCTATGCTACGGGCTATTGGGAGTCAAATCGAGAAGACAACCAATCATGAAATGTGCAGAGACTTATCAGGTAGGAGAATGCGTGATGTAAACCTGGAAAAAAAATTAAAGGAATGGTATGCTACGGCTGACGAACGGGAACGTAAAAAAGCAGAGGAATATATTGAAAGACGACGAAAACGTCAAGAACTATTAAAACAGGGTCTCTTACCTGAACATAGTTTTTCAGATCGTGAATATGAACGACAGAAACGTAAAATTGCTTACGAACTACGGGGAGCCTTAGATATAGGTAAGGTCGCTTGATACAAAATTCTTTACACTGAGTTTAGCTATAGAAAATGTTAAGAAAGAAAAGAAACAAACGGAAGTCCAACCTGTAATTTCCTCTGAAAAGCAGCTGAATGCAAAGCGTACTCGATTATGGATTGAGGAAATGGACAAAGAGCTGTCTTCGGGTTCTAGCGATGAAGAATTTTCGGCTAGCTCGTCATTTGACATTTCCTCTAGTCTTGCAAAACAAGATGATAATTTGCCCGTAAAAGATGATACCAAAGCCAAAACGGATTCTACAGAAATCCTTAACAGTATTAAATCAGATGTAATCGGTAAGTTAGTATCTTGTTCACTATGAAGAGTTCAATATACATTGGTGCACTCGACTGAACTTGCAAGATAATAAGTAACCTCGGTATCCACTGGAAAGTTTAGAAGTCGCTCTAATTATTATCGTATAGAAGACCAAGCAGCTCTGTTTTCCCATAATAATTATTCTAAAGCTTGGTATAAATGAGACCATAATCAGTTATAGTTTCTACCACGTTGTTCGAAATTCTTCAAGGTTATTCATATTAAATACATTTAGAAAAAACAATCGTACGTTAATTAAAGTACTACTGTCAACTTTATTACACACTATGTGACTTGTTTGATAGCTTTATTGGTTTCAATCCCTTAACCTCGAAAACTGATAAGCCATTGTCCTTGTTTACCATGGAATACTATATATATGAGTACAGAGGTAATAAACTGCTTTAGCCGCGATAGTCTTTCACAGCGGTTTCGTATTGAAAAGTTGTTGTCAGTTTACGAACAGGTCAAATGTGTGTTAATTATAACTGCGATTACGACCGCATTCTCATCAAGCTGGACTCATCGGTTTTTTATCTGTATGTTTTCTGGTCATATTATATGTTTCCTAACTTACGGAATCCACCTACAGTTGATACAAAATGTTCGAAAGTTAGTAACAGACTAACTTACGAATTATTATCATACGATGAGTCCACTTTTTAGCTCTACTGCAAATGTATTTTAAACAAAAAAGTAGACGATTATATGAATAGATGAGGTCCAATGACGAATCAGCTATTGGAATACGTTCGAACAAGAATGCCAGTGAAAAGATTATTTTCGTTGCACAACGATGAGCATATTTTTTAGTGTCAATAAAACGAAACACAATAGGTACATTGATATGTTTTGAAGCAATGACAGTAAGTAAAAATCCTTACATTTATTAATCATATAGGTCGTTAATCTGTTGTTTCTGAACGACTGATGAATAAAAAATTTAACTTTAGTAATGCATTTCTTTCAAATTTCAGTCGAAGATAAAAAAGAATCGCAAAGTGCTTGTAGAAATACCTCAAAAGAAACCGCACAACCTTTGACTGACCAACAGTTGCGTGAAGTAGATACTGCTGAAAACCTCGAAGTGTTCGGCTTAGATGTTCTTAAAGCAACCTTAATGGCTCGGGGTTTAAAGTGCGGAGGGACGTTGAAAGAACGAGCTAGCCGTTTGTTTTCAATCAAAGATTTAAGTTCCGAGCAATATCCTGCAAAGTTACTAGTGAAGAACAGATAACTGATTTGCCTGAGATGCCTTTCAGAAATTTATGTATAATTTTAAAGATTTGTTTTCGCATATAACAGTATATATATATATATATATATGCATGCAAAATGAATTTTTAATGTTAAGGGCTGAATCTAAGGGAAACATTCATTATCCGGGTAATTGCTAGTGGGTGCTATTAAACGAAGCATTGACATGCGTATCATGTTCGTCTAAACCCTTGATAACCGATGAGAAGTCATACTTTTCACTTTGGTTTAAACTTGTATTATTCTCAATTTGAACTCCATAATAGACTCTCAAGAAAGAAAAGAGAAATATACAATAATAATGACTACATATACATGAAACGTATTATTGATAAATAAAACAGTATAAGACAGGTTACAATCATTCTGTTTTCGAAATAATTTGATATATTTTAAGTAAATATGAAATAAAAGTTAACAACACAAGGAACTTTTTCATAACACAAAGCAGTCCCAAGAAAATGAAAAGTAACATCACAATTTGTTTACTCCAGGAGTCAGAAAAAGACTGATTAAATGACATCTGGGGAAAATACACGAAAAAGTGATCGCCTGAGACAGTAATTGAAATATGGCGCTGAAAGAGACTGTAATAGTACTCTTTTTCAAAAGGAATCGATGTACACATCAATGAGTAAATAAATCCCGAACAGAAGTGGTTAGTGAAATATATTTTCTATTATGAATCACAGCCCATTGTACACGCTTGTCTGGATAAGTTAAGCATTATTGTAGTACACAACTTTTGTCGATTCTACGCCTCCCATATGACATATAACCTGCATTTTGCTCCAGTTCTAGTTCTTCAGCTAATCTTTAAGTTACAAAAATCGTTAAAAATACAAACAACTTACACTTTCTCATGCAAATCCAATTCCTGAATGATGTCATCACGTTCATTGACCAATCGTACAAGATCTTGTAAAAGAAGATCTTCTCGTCTTCTATCATTATCTGTTTTCAAATAATCTATTTTATTTCGAGAAAAGTTTTTCCGATTAGTATGAGATTTTAATGAAATCATAAATTACACACGTTGCATTAAAGAGGCTTAATAACTGAATGTGACTCGGTAAAAAATACGTTTGTACACAGACCTTTTTTTGTGATTAATGATACTACGTGACTCCCCAATGCTTGAATGATGAACTTAACGCCTAAGCTAACAAATACTTTATGCTCATAAACTTGTGGCAACGCTTTTGTTGTCGTAATCTCCAGGTGTTGCGAGTTCATTCCTCACATTTATAGGATAAAGTAAGACACTTAACTAGATTTTTCGAGACCCAGATAAGCAAATGTAACGATACATAAAAGTGATGTAGTTTTATCTAAGCCTACAAAAATTCAGGGATAAATACTAATCGGTTTTTGTCATGAGAAATAAGTTGTTCTTCCTTCATTTTAGCAACCAACTTCATACAGACAGAAAAAAATCGCGTAAGACGCAGAGCGGTTGAAGCTCAAAGCTACTTACCTTCTTGAGGTGACAAATGTTCACTAAACATCTGAATCGGACGAGTCTATTATAAGCTAGAAATATGCAATATCAAGCATTACACCTGACTGCCCGTAATACATGTTCATTTCGAAGAAAAATTTATTGTCGCCGCAAAATGCTAAATTATGGGGAACACTTTATATGTGTAGTCTGTTAATAAATATAAAAAAAGAACAAACTCAAAGACAACCACACAGGGAAAAGCAAAGATCACTAGAGGATGGGGAAGTTAAGTTTTTGGACGCAAAATTAAGAACTGAAATCACGAAAAATAGCATGTCTAGCACTTTATAATTTGTTGAAAAGGTAAGTGATTGCACCGTTATGTTATAACACAAATATACCACTTATTTATGGTTATCCTTCAAGGCAATCTTGTTTCCGGTTAATTTTAGTAGCTTAGTCTGTGTGTCAGTGGTAATATCCAGTTAAATTTACCTTCAACGGATAAAATCGATCGTAATTCATCCTGCAACATTTTCATTTTCTTTTTCAAATCATCTTCCTTCTCCCTGAAATAAATAAACAATTTGTTATTGATGTAATCGTATAATAACATTTTGGTGGAACATTGTATTATCACGACAGGCTCAACTAAGAATAAAAAAGTGACGATTATCGCGTACGTTCTAACACAAAAAAAGATCAGGGTAAATGGGATGGTTTAAATACAAAATAATTAGTTTCAAAAATTTAATTGGATTACAAAGCGCTTCGAAGAAAGTTTATCTACCTTAATTTTTAGATAAGATGTTATGACGAGTAATGTTGGAGTCTGATACTGAGAAAAAAACTTCTCATACGCAAGTCTAGGTGGCTACCAGTGAGAAAACTACGAGTAAAGAAAGTTCAACCATTTATTGATCAATAACTTGCACCTGACTGGAAAAAGGTGATCTCATTTGGCAACTTTTGACTGCTCCAATTTCGCAGAAGAAGCTAGACAAATTACAGTGGAATAAATGGTAGTGAGCTTAAAAGGAAAACGACTTTTTGGCAACCTACTGGATTTATTTGAATGTACGCTATTCTCTTCTTTATTCTATTTTACAGGCTTCTGTCTTTAATGTAGTCTGATTTAAAATATCTCAACAAAATATACCCTAATACTGCTTTAATCTAAGAGAGGACGACTCTTAGAAGTATCCAATAAATCTGTTTGATTTTCCGAACTCGATGTTATCGCAACAATCTGATAAAATAGAAGCAAGGCCGTTGAAATAATTGTGATTGTATAAGTTGAGTTAATAACGTATTTATTTAGATAACATATAGATCCATTAGTAATAAAGAATATCACACTTATAATACGGATAAAAGGATAAACGGCCTTACATTATAGACAACTGGAAGCCCCGATGAATTAGGGCATTCTTCTTATTGACTAAAATAAACCATCGTCTTAACAATTCTTCTTCTAATGCGGTGCCTGGCTCGTATGCCATTTGTTGGCGTAAACGCTGCTCTAGTACAGCTGCTTCTTTATCTAACTTCTTTTGTGCCTCTTCTAATTCAGCCTGCTCATTGCTGATATAATTCGAAACGGAGAGAAGTGCATTAGACGAACTGTTATTGACTAAAGTGCCTATAGAAGATGAAGATATTGTAAATCAATATAATGAATGGATATAACTAGTTCTCATAGATTAGTAGAATAAACAATTCTGGTTTAGGAAAGAAATCAGTCTTTTGCTCAAAACAAGTCTATTCACATAAACAAGATTCTCATACATCCGAGATTTTTAGATCAATTTAATTTGTAAACTAGCGATGAACATCTTTCATCGGCAACGAGTTCTTCATCATAATACTTTTATCTTCAAAAAATTGTTTTCAGTATTCGGTTCTTATACTTCAACATAAGTAAAAGTAAACAACCGTTACGCCGTATTAATTACGCTGTTAAACGACTGAACAGTTGTTTAGTATAAAATCGTTTTTGACAGTAGGTAAATTAGTTGGCCAATCTTATTGTGAAATAATTGTAATTAATAGTAAAGAAGTCCCATAGCTACTTTTAATAACGTTCCGACAAGAAGTACCTACTTTGTGAATTCCAAAGAGCCAAATAAAAATTTGCAGATACCAATATAAATAACAATGTAGTATACAAATTTAGATTTGTAGCTAAACAACACTCGAAGGTCACGAAGCAATGTAATTAACTAAAGTTGTTACATAATAGGCTTTACGAAACTAGCATAAACCGAAAACCAGTCCATGTTTGTGGACATGGTAAAATATATCAAAATGTACTGAAATTGTATTCATGATTTGAAAAAACAGCGTAGAATTTGTTTAATGTCAAATCTGAGTCATTAATTTCACTCTTCTTGACACGAATTTGATCAGAACCATGAGTTTGAGTTTGTGACTAATCAATTGGATCCAGCTCTAATAATTAAATCATAGACGACACAATACTGCAATATTTGATATTTCTTACTAAAGAAACAATTACACTCGTAGAATGAATAGTTCATTTATAAAAGTGTTGTGAATTAGCTTCAGTTATACATAATGGATGTTTTTTGTTTACATTTTAATCATAGTTTATCAAAATATACACTTTCTATGTAACTAACCTTGATTTTTGATCTTAGTGAATAAAACGAGTTCCACAAATGTTTGTTCACCGAAGGATTTAATAAAAGTGAAGTATAAAAAAATTAAAGATGACAATAGTGTATATCTAATAAACATAATATTTATATGATATTGTAGAAAATAATAGTAACAGTAAGTCATTAAATTCGATAAGTGAAGAACTCATTGCTGATGGGGATTTTCTAACCAGTGTGCGAGGAATAAAAAGTGTATCCTCAATGACGTGAATGAAAATATCCTGACAATATTCCTAAAATAATTCTGCATAAAAATCTAAAATACGATGTCGTTATAAAAATGTAAATAAAAATATGTTAATGGTTTACGATCAAAAAGTAGAATACATCAGTACTGAGAGATTCATGTCATTGATAAAGAAGTGACGCACATTTTAAATTTTTGTTGCCTGATACACTAACTAAAACATGACAAAAAACTCTGCAAGTGTAAGTAAACTCTCATCTTTATACTGAAACTACTAAAGAGAATCCAGCCAACATTCAGAAACAAAACACTAGTCACTTCCTCCTAGTCTCGATCGGAAATGAGTCTAAAAATTTAAGTTGTAAATGAAAATTAAATTATAAAGAGGAAATTAGAACACCTTGCCCCTAAAACTAGAGTTTATAGACGAAACTACTAATGAAATAATACTGATAATAAGAAAAGCTCCGCAGAAAAACAAACCGTATGCTTTATTCTGAAAAGACTTTATCCTAAAAACCAAAAATAATGACAAACTTCTTCAATTAAACTGCTACTGTGAAACTAGTTACATAAGCGAACAGTTCGGGAATTCCGTCACCAATTAGCTTAACACTATGCTATATGATCAAGCAAAAGCTAATTACTTATCGTACGTTTTTTTTCTATCGACAAAGCTAACAAACTGAATTTCTAGGTAAAAATGTGTACAAACGACTTCGCTCCTACTTCGGTCATCATAACCGTTACTAGAGCCACTTGAAAAATATGAAACACTAATTAAAATAAGTAGTTCTCGATTGCATTCGTTTTTCGCAATAAAATAATTAATTTAAATATTTCAACTTACAGAAGTGGAGACATGAGTTCGGTTATCCATTTTATTATCCAAATGATGTTCACCAATACGTATAGGTACTGGTGCACCACTACCTCGACCCGATGCAAAGAGATTCATTTGTGACAGACGTAGACGTCTAACTTTCATTTGTTCCGGAGAAAACCTTGTGTCAACAGTTGACTGTGGTGGTTTACTAAGTGTTGGAAAAATATTACTCGTTGAAAATCGAAATGGCTTAGAAATGGAATTTAATGAGGTATCAACATTCGGTATACATATTGTGCCTGTAAATTGGAGGTATAAACAGACTAAATCATATGTTTATCCAGTAATATATGTGGTTCATGAAAACAAGCTAAAGAACGGGTACAAATGTAAGCAACTATGAAGTAGGATAATAAGCTGACATAAATAAGTGCATTATAATAAAATATTCGTATTTGTGGACGTTTATGTATAGTATATCCATAATTTGAAACTAATTCACTAAGAACTTAGTAACTAAACTTGAGATTATGGATGATAAGCATTTAGAATCAGGTAGCTGGGTATTTTGTTAGGAAACACTATAATGTATGATGAGGATGAAACACAGCAGTTTGCATTAATTAATAGTTACAAATGTGATCTAATTTCTCTCAGAACTAGATTCAGAAATGGAACAACACAGAGCAGTTCCCAAATAACTTTACACGCTACACTACGGGGTTTGAGTCATTCCACAAATTGGATAATTCTTGGTTAGTGGATCTCGAGTGTAGCCCAGCTGGGCTCATGGCGAGACCCAAAGGCACTGGTTAATTTGTTGTATGAGAGCATTGGTAACCACCTTTAACTAGTTCTGAAATGAGGTAACTAGATGTCGACGGTTCTCACTGGGTGTTGGTTTGTAACAAAAATTTAAATAAGCTTAAAAACCGCTTATAAAGGTAATTAGCTTGGGTCGACTAAAACTGTATACATCTGACTGCTACACTTATGATTTTCCCCCTTCTTATTAGTTGCATATGAAGATTAGCGAAACTTTATTGTAGAGCATTAGTCTTTAAGCATATACACAAGAAGACCAATAAATCAGTATTATTTTGTTCAAACAAAACGTTAGTTTTTTGATCTAATAAAGGAAGTGAGCATCAATAACCTCATGCAACCAAAACTATCCAGTTATTCGTGATAACAATAAACACGAACCTGAATTACAGAAAACCCACATCCCTTATTTAATGTGTAAAATGGATGAAAGAAGATCAAATAATCAAGTCAAATATACTCAGCTGAATAAAGCTCTGGTTTATTCGGTAGGGCAATCAACATTCAATTAGTTAATAAGAATTTGCAACTGCACTGTACCGAGAATTTAGTAACCAAACAGTATATACCATTGGCGGATGACTTTGTACACGGTTGCTGAGTACCTCGATTTGTTATATGCAAAATATACTAAATTACTTAATGTATACGTGATTCGAGGAGATAAAATCGATCCTAAATGACCGATAAACAGGAAATATTGATATGAATATTTACAGATTAAAAAGAGCACTTGCAAACAAGCTCAAACTAAGACAAATAATCGTTTACATCTTGAAAAGAAGCATTTTAATCAACACTACAACGAACTGAGAAATTACTTGCAATTCAATCTGCGACTCATCACGTGACACATTCATGTTACTACTGTGTATACTAGCATAGCAAAAGTAAAAGGACGACAAGCAGAAAAAGTAATATGATGTGAATATTCAGAAAATCTGGTAACCTATACGTTTAAAGATGAACAATGAGAATATCTCGGGTTATGGTATTAGGGTGCTGTCTAATGTTTGAGAACTGAGATTTGAGCTAAATAAAAAGAGCTCACACTAGAAACCGACATCCATCTAATAACACTACTGGAACGATGCTATAGTTCCTAGTAACCTCACAATCTTGTAAATGTGATTCCATGCTTCAAGCTGAAAAATTATTTTAGTTAACACAGCCTAAAAACTAAAGGAAAAAAGCTAAAAATATCAAAACAGTAACAAATGAAGGTAATATTTAATAGACATAAGGCGTTTTCGGCTAAGACGTATGAAATATATCGTTCAGTCTTCGCAAGAAAGAATGACGCGATCATATTGGCATTAGTGTGACATCTATTCCGACGGGTTTCAATAACCTTGTGATCATTTGTTCTTATTATAAACACCTGTGTGAATTTGTGATGGTATATCGATTTGCCAAACATTTGATGAATTTGCGAGAGGAGCCGTTTTACAGAATGAAGAGTTTGACTTTTTTCGCTGAGCTGTGAAGTGTGTTCTAGCTCTTCTTACAAGTGTTTGTACGCTATTTTTTTATTGTTGAGCTTCCACTGTTTTGTGAGAATTGGCTTCTTGTGTGATAATGTTTATAACGTTTTTGTTTGTTTCGTTGGATAAAATCAGGACACCCAACAATAGAATTTTGTGGTTTAACTGTTTTATATGAACTGAAAATGCTACTGATCAATCAAGGTGAATTTTTGAGTCCGTGTCTCAATGACAACAAACGCGCCATCTATATAGTGTTCCCAAAACTTAAGGTTTTATTGTTGGTGAGACTTCAGCATCTAGTTATACCACCACAGCTTCTGCGATTAGTCCTGATGGATGTATTTCAGTTAGAGTTCCTTTGGTCGGTTAAAACATTTGAGAAACAAATATGGAATGCGTTGTAAGATGTTAACCAACGAGGTTTAACTGGTGTATGACAGCGAAAGAAGACAAATGCAAGACCGTCGACAAAATTAATTGTACCAAGTATGAGAAGCACTTTATGTGAGAGGGTAGACTCTACGTTTAAATAAAGATACATGAACAGGGTACAGAAAGAATGCAATATATTTGCACTTTTATGAATGGTTGTAAGCGATTGTAGATACGCACTTAGTTAAGAAAATGCCACACTAGCCGGAAATGAGGTGATTAGGTCAATCTGCAACCAACTCCTTACTGTACTGACACATGTCGATACAGAAAAATGGTTACTCCGTAAAAGGTCGGTCCAAAAAAAAATAACCACCCAGAGAAAATCAATCATCAACATAGTCATGAAGATTAACTACTCAATTGGTAGTAGAAAGAAATTTTAAATCTTAAATTTAAAAGTGCTTAAATTAATCAAAATAACAATGAAAATTTTATAAATAGATCGCCCAATTCAGAACATAACATAATCAAAAGCATTCGATAAGCTACAAATGGTTATAACCAATATTCTAAGAACTATTTTCAACAACGACATGAACACTGGTAATGATAAATTTCTATCTACATGAATCCAGTTTATCTATATCAAGTTCATAATATGTAATTGATAATATTTTCAGATCATTACTAGAATGAAATAACAATGTACTATTAAATTTTATATTGATTATATGTATATTATGCTAATAGATTAAAATATAATAACCGATAATTTGTATTTTTGAACTTATTTCTGTAAAATTACAAAATGGTCATCTACATTTAAATCTATCTGTATTAGATTACTATTTAAAACAAACAAACAAACATTTAATTGATGTCAATAAAATGTTTTTTTTTTTCATTATTCAATTTTCAATAAAAAAAAGCGAATTAAAACAAATTAAAACTACCATCTGAATTAAATCTGTACAGAGTTTTATGGGATTTTCGATGTTCTAAATAAATAAAAATGCGTTTATTCGATTATTCCAAAATAATATTTTATTTAGGCAAACAAAATTATATATAAATAATAATATGAATGTATTTTTTTTTACATACAAACCAATGAACATTATCAAATATGCAAGGCAGACAATAGGCATTAACATAAGCATATATATATAGGCGAATGTATTCAGTCATAGTATAGACATCAAGAAAATTATGCAACCAAAGCAATATTGTTGAATGAAGAAATAAACGAATAGCATTCACATCAATTTAATAAAAGTGCAGTGTAATTTCAATGGAAATAAGTAGATATATGATAGTAGTTAGTTCAGTAGGTAATACGTGCGCATAGCCATAGATATATAGATAGATAGATGGACATAGATATAGATTAATATGATAAAACGAAAATTGGTGCATGAAAAAAGGAAAAAAAAGTGTTAAACATTATTATTAGAAGGTAGTAAAAACTAAGTGAGATATTTAATTTTTTTAAGTAATAAAATACAAACAATAAATTCAACCAACTTTTTATAAAACAATTATGAAACTATAAAAATTTATTGGGGATAATTGGTGTTGATTTCTTTGAGTAGATGTACATTATTGTGTTATTATAAACTAATTTCTGTAAGAAATATACATTTGAGCTTGTTGTTATTATTATTATTATTACCGCTTAAAACTAACTTCTAATAATAAACAAAGTATGTATAGTTTTTTTGTATTTGTGTACTAATGTGTATCTAGCTCACATTTGATTGAGAAGCCTGGAACAGGTGGAAGCCTTCATGTATCTGGACAGCACCATCGACGGACGAGGAGGATCGGATACAGACGTAAAAGCAATGATCGGCAAAGCAAGGGAAGCTTTCCTACAGTTGAAGAACATATGGAACTCAAAACAGCTGTCAACCAATGTCAAAGTCACAATCTTCAATAAGAACGTCGAGAAAGTTCTACTGTATAGAGCTGAAACTCGGAGAACTCCTATAACTATCATCAAAATGATACAATCATTTATAAACAAGTGTCTACATAAGATACTCAATGTTCGTTGGCCGGATACTACCAGCAACAGCCTACTATGGTAGAGAACAAACCGGCTTCCAGCTGAGGAGGAAATTAGGAAAAGACTCTGGAAATGGATAGGATATACATTGAGGAAATCATCAAACTGCATCACGAGGCAAGCGCTAACATGGAATCATGAAGGGAATAGGAATAGAAGAGGACAAAGGAATACACTGCATCGAAAACTGTAAAGAGATATGAAAAGAATGAATAATAACTGGAAAGGATCGCCCAGGACAGAGTTCAATGCAGAATGCTAGTCAGTGGCCCATGTTCCTCCATGAGGCGTAACAGGTGTAAGTAAATAACTAGTGTGTATCTAACTTAATTTCGACGAAACAGACTGATATATGAAGAAGTTAGAACTAACTAAATGAAGTTTGTTACAAACATAAATTTACTATTCGTTTAAGGAATCAAAACAATAAATTGTTTCAGTCTAAAAACGTTTGTGAATTTATATTACACGCAAAGAAAATAAAGTTTAAACAACAGTATTATAAAAATAAAGCATTTTCCACTATTTTCAATATGATATTGTATAAAGTTACAAATACCTACACTTGAGTAACGTAAACAATAAAGGTGAAAAAATAGTAACAATTGAGAAGTTTGTATTAATTACCGAAACTTCATGAATGAATACATCGACTACATTATGGAGTATTTTTTAAATCTTTAGCAGAGCTGAATATCTTTAGAGTTGATTAAATCAAAGGAAAAAATATATAATTAAATAATATGCAATGAAGTCAATTATAATTGAGAATACTTATCAGCTGAAGAATCTGTAATGAAAATGATTAAACGTACACATATAAGATGTGTGTACACTGAAGTCACTGATGATTCAGCATTAAGATGCTTGAAAACAATACAATTCAGTACCATATATAGATATTATCATATATGCTATGTCTATTTCTTGAGAAGTAATTACTTAATAATTTCAACAGATTGATAGGATGAGCATGAATAAATAGGCTAAACTTTGTTACAAGACTTGGAGTCATGAACCGACCAGAAATATAGCTAGCTTAATTGGACTATATATTTAAAACAACACTGATGTGTCTAAAAGAGCACAATATTTCAAATATATGTATGTTGGGTCCTTTCAATAATTTATCAGCATTTCACATACATAGTGAGCCATTTGAATCCAACTTTTAAAAATATATTTACCTAAAAAAACACATATATTCACGTATGATTTGGGTGTTGAGGAATTTAACACTCAAGTCTGAAACTTGCTTTGTTATAATTTTTCGTTTACTTAATCAAATAATATGACATCCCCTCACACAACAAGAGTAACTGAAAGTCAAGTACAGAAACGTGTACATGATAAACGTGAGACACTACAGAAGAACAAGAAAAATTATTTAACATACACTAAACCTTACTTGTACATAACTTTGTATCAGTCAATCGATGATTTTGTCCATCAGTTAATGTAATATTCGTTAAACTTTCTTCTGTCACTGGATTTCGGTTAAAATTTTCATCTACTGAATGAATTGCTGTCAATGAACCAGATATAGGATGTGGTTTACGAGGATGAGCTAAAGGCGGTAAAGCACCAGGTCGACTTGTTGGTGCTAAGTAATTTAGACGTGATTGTTGCAAGAGACTACGTGCTTTAGCCAACATATGTTCATAATTCATTAACGGAATTTTCTTGGAAAAAAATAGTAAAAGAGAGTGGATAGAGTATTTTTCAAAAATTAGTAAAGTACAGAGTTATTAGCATTATATTCAATTATAAATAAAAAATTTGTGTGTAGAAACACGCAGTTTTGATACGTAAATGCCATAGACAATAGAAAGTACTTCCCAACAAGTTTTCATTCATAGATGATTGAAAGCACAATGAAAAATTGGAAAAGGTAGATTGATGAATGAAGCACTAAAATTTATCGGTCGAAATGAAACACTTTCCAAGGCTTTAATTACTTAATTATTGGAAGACAAAACCTTACCTACATATAATCGTATAATTAATAACTAAATACTCAGTTTATTTACTTTCATGATATTTATCACAAACGTACATATACTAAACTTTCCACGGGGAAATGATTTTCAGTTTATTTGTTAATTGTGATATTATAAGTCTAAGTTACTTTACCTTTGCACAGCAATATATTGATATGTAAAGTTATCTATCTACCTGAAGAATGTCTAAGTAAAATGATGAATTAGTTTTGAACCTCGCTTTATTGACATGAAGTAAAATCTATGTAAATATTCTAAATAATCCAATTTATTGATTCTCAAACACTGCATAAGGTAAAAGAAATCTTGCGAAAAGAAAATCAGGAAAGTAATTGCCAAGGCACAGATAAGATAGAAAATAAGAAAAGATCATTAGACAACTTATACACATTCATATAGAAACTGCAGTCAGTCAGTAATAAGCAACATCGAATCAGGCACAGAATCTATAATCCACATAATCTCAGACCGCTAGTAACTTTTTAGAATGGAGATCTATCCCTTAAAATTAGATGAAATAAGTATAATCCTAAGAAGACATCAATAAAAAAATTTAAGTAGGAAAGAGCAAAGTGGGCAACGCTGAATCACATCAATCTAGCTTGAAATCCATGACAAGACATAATAAACTAAGATTCGATCAGTAGTGCATAAGTAGAGAACACTCACAAGATTTGTATACTTCATTGGTACGCCTGTCAACAAGAATCTACCGAGTCGAGTGTCACTTTAAAATCGAGATATACAGCTATGATAGCGAGTTAGTAGATAAACCTATATTCTAAAACTTTAAGGAGAGTGAATATTTGATCAAAATATTCACGTCAACATTTAAAATATAAATACTTTCCCCAAGCCTTAATTAAGTGTACAGTGATTACGAAGGTTAGTGTATTAAAAAATAGTATTAGTCAGTGTGTCATCAGTAGGTATCACAAAAGAATCTAGGTTATTCCTTGCAGAGATTGACATCAGTTAATTAAGATCATGCCCGGTTATCAGACTCCAGTCAATATCGCGATCAGTACAACTGCCAAAACTGAATCATCATCCTTAAGGAATTTCTAAACTAGTCTATCAGGTCCTACAGTACTTAAATAGCATTAATATAGCCTTTTAAACTCATCAAGTGATGGATTGGGGAGCTAATATCGACCTTTATTCAGGTTATTTGTAAATAGTGGTAACTCGAAATCGGATAAAGTCCTTTGAAATATTCTGACCAACATTTGGACTTAGAGTATACAACTATCTCGTCTTTGTGATAGTTGACATTTAATAGTCATTACTCTTATAAGTCTGAAGAATTTTCTAGTCATACTTTAATTGTTGTTCTATCATAATAGTTTAAATATGTTTTACTATGATCATTTGCACATGTATTTTAACAAATAACCATTTGAACTATAACGTTTATTATCAATAAACAAACTCAAGTTGAATAGTATCAAAATCAATTTATTCACATTGGACATACGAAACTCATATTTTTAGGCGGCAAAAGGCTATGACAAGTGTTTTCTAAGATATAAAATTGGCAATGATAGAATGTATCGAAATTAGATTGTAAACAGTCGTTTCATAAAAAAAAAACTCAAACATAAACACATTAACTTCAAAACCAAGTAAATATGGGTGATTTAATCATCAGGAGGCATTGAATATATATATCAAGCCACAATTTAAAAAAAGAACAATTATATGTGATTGATATGTTTTAAAAAGTGTTTAAATAAGGATATTAATAAAATACAAGTAACTATTCAAAATCGTTCTGGAAGTGTGTCTAAAAGACCGAATGAAAACAATATGATATTCTGATATAATACGTGTGTCTATTCCGTTTCGTAAACGTTTACATTTTTTCCGGCTGTCATTATTTAGTGAATTGATGTTTGCATAATGAGAAAGGTAAGAGTGATGGTTTGAATCGATGCTAAAAATTCGTCAGGGTTTAATAGATCACGTAACGAATAAGCCATTTAAATTGTAATTCATTTTTTTCATCATAGTCTTGATATTCTTTTAATTATGAGCCGTTAATAACTACAAACCAGGTTATATGATTATACATTATTCATAAGCAGTACATAAAAACTAAGTCGTGAAGAAAGTAGTTTTCTAATTTCAATATGATAATTGTTATATCTTGAAAAAGCTGTTTTTTCGGTATACCGCGAATAACTGAGTACTAGAACACGAAAACCCTTCCAAGTCGCAGTAAGAAGACAGAAGACTAACAACAGTGTCAATCATAGTACAAAATTGTCAGGTATTTATAGTTTTTAGTGAGAACGAAATCATCATTACAGTCTTCCAATCCGCATACAGAGGGTTATTAGCATTATCCAATCGGGAAGCTACACGTTGGAATTCTAGAACATTCTTCGGAAAGGTGATCGGATGGGACGTCTTCAGCTCCTTCTGAGCCTCTTACAGCTTCCTCGAGTTCACCGGTGGTCCGTCGTCATAATAATCACTCGTCATCTTCAGAAAGGTAGGTCACACTAACCATTGGAACCTAGAACTGTGAGAGAACCTTGCTCACTATGTAATCAGCATAGTCACACAAATCAAGTTAGTGATAATAACAAAAATGTTGTTGGTTATTTGTCCGTTTACCGATTAGGCAGTTGCCTACAGTACCAAATACTGATACATAAATACAGCAATCAAACAGAAATAATATCAAAAACTACACCCGATACATCTATGTTCTTATTAAACTAGTTTTAGGTGTGGAAACATTAATTTTTAAAAAAATAAATAATGACAAACGACAGGTAATGAAACACAAATTTGTACGAAACTACCTTTTTAGGTGTTGATCTAACAGCTTTATCTGGATTAGTTAAATTATTTTTAGCATTGTTTGAGTTTTCATCCGGCGGATTTTCAATTTTCTGCAAACTATGATTCGTTTCTGAGCTAAAATAGGCGAAGTAAAGAAAAAAATGGTGAATATGTAATATGTAATAAATATATATAATGATCATATAGGGAAATAAGCACCTTATCTAAATAAAACCAGAACAACAATCGAGGTATAATAATATAGATTCGATCGAGGTTTCGCACCAGCTGTTTACAACTATATATATCATTAAAATTCATAAGGGAAGCCAATTGCATGAAACGTGTACATTAACAGTTTTTACGCGCAGTACTAGATATTTCATGTAGATGTTTAAAAATACAAATGCCTCGTATGTGCATGAATACATGCTATAAGGTCACTCCTCTATTGCAACCAATTGACTCTGAACACTTAAAATTATGTCAGAAAGATATTCAGCATTGAAATAGGATGAGAGAGAAAAACTTATCATATGACATCTGCGGATAAAAAGGATATTACACATCCATTTGCAAATCAAAGAGTTTACTAAAAATCAATTTACTCTGTTCCACTTTATGGCTGCAAAGAACAACTATTAAGAATAATGATTATTTGTAAATTGACAGTATTTAGTTGGATATGTCATCGAAGCACTGGTCTTCTATGTCGGGAAGATCGAGCGGGTAGTGCTAAGAACAGACGTAGGATGTTAGATAAAAATGACAGACTGGTTGATGAAATAGTGAATCTTCATCAACTAAGGTGGTCGAGACACATTAGACTGAGCAAGATAAGCAAGTCAAATCACTTTGGTTGGGGTCTATGAAGTTATCGTAACCTTTAGTTAAAAACAATGGGTGACAACGATCAGAATCGGTCACAGTGGCATAAACCATTTCACTCTTTGTTGTCTTTCAGATCCCAAGCGTGGAAACACTATCTTCTTTTATATCTAATCTTTCCCGCTACTAATCATAACGTTACTATCAATACTATTCCGAGACTTCACTTGTTAATTGCATTTCTCTGTGCTAATGCTGCATTATAATTTGAACTGATGGGAATATATGCCAGGTTCAAAGTTGCACATGACTGACTAACTAGCACATGTTTAAAAATCTGCAATTTATACACTTCATATTCTTGACCATTTACGGGTTATCAAAAAAGTTTTGTAGTACTGCATTACACATTTGACTACTGAAAGATTTGTTCAAAAAACAACAATGATGATCACAAACCCATAAATCCTCTCAGATGATCCATTTATGTATTGATACAGACTAAAATACTAAACATTTGGAAAATGCAATAATTTACATAACTTTTAAACTGAAGATATATATATATATATATATATATATATATATATATATATATATATAAACCGAAAACTGAACTCTTTACAACAGAAACAGACTTGTTGGTTTTGATACATTGTTCAAAGATCCCATTTAATACTAATTTATCATTTGTACATGGAGAGTTCTCATCATTATTTTTTGTTCGTTCACAGCAAAATGTACGGATTTGATGGAGGTATGTCATCATACTGAGCAAATCAGGTGAACGGCTTTTAGAAACTACTTCACTTGGATCAAGTACACGAGGTACTCCCAATTTAGAAGCCACATCGAATGCCAGGCGACAATTTTGTAGAGGGTTCTCCGATGACAATGAGTTGTAATCACTTGAAAAGTATTTTTAAATTTAAAAAAATATTCGTTACAATGCAATAAATAAAATGCAAGGAAGTATTATGTAACTGTTCAGAGGGAGAGATGTTTGAGACTTATTGGGAATCTGTATTAGTTGAAAAGATCGGGTTAAAAAATTCATCTTCAAGAACACTACTTCGTCGATTTCTAATGAAATATAAGTATACTGTTTTATTGGATGTAAAACCTATCCTGTTACTTAGTAGTCTTGACTTTCATACCAGCTATTTTAGGTATATATTTCTATTCCAACTGTTGAAGTAGACGAAACCAAGGTATTTTCCAAAAATTCAAAAACTATCTTCGCGAAATAAAGCCGTAGGTTTTGTAGATCAGAATGGTTTTTTAAAACGTGAATTAACATTTGAACTGAATCGAACACTTTTGCCTTGTAGGTTTATTCAGTGAAGACTGCTCCTTATAATGTAAACTGGGTTGTATGGCACTATGATTACAGCACGGAATATTAATTAACAAGTTACATATAGATAAATGAATGGTTGTTTATTTGACAATAAATTATAAAACTCTCTAATTACATAAATACGTCAACAGTAGAGTATATCCTGTTGTAGATCATACAGAACACCTTCAACGTGTGAGCTAAACAATGAGTAAAAGATTTGAATTTAGATCCCATTTTCAATGACTCAGGCAAGTAGTTTGACGCGTTATTACGGAGTGAAATATTCTGAATAGGTATTTTAAAGTTAGGGAGTGATTAGATACACAAAGTAAATTATGATTCATAAAATCATAGGTTTCAATGAATTATCCAAATGAATAAAAATAAACTAAAACAATGTGATATAATCAATTAAATCTATACCTAAAACCTACTAAGCAGTAATCACCTATGAATTTATTATAAACAATAGTGTAACAAGAATAAATAAGATAAATTATATACGCTAACTGGATCTTGTCTACTAATCTAAAAGGTAACAACAAGGAACCCAGTAGTTATATGCTCGATCCTCTGAAGACTATTCATTTATATTATTCAAGGATATAAGTATTGATTTCAACATTTGTTCAATAAGTATGAATATCGACAAAAATGGGAGAAATATGTTTAAACATTTACAAGAAATCACTGATTCCGTAACCCGAGTTTACACGGTAATTAAAAATAACAAAAGGCGAACTTACATTCGATCGGGAAAAAAATGATGCAGGATAGCACAGAAAGCTAATCCATTCTGGAATGATGTAGTAAGATCAACTATCTGTATATTGTCATAAGATTTAGTCACCAACTGACACCATAGAAGTAAATCATATCGACTTTGAGTTGAAATAGGCTTTAATCTGATGCAAAATAGGCAAATAAAAGTAATTATAAACTATATTAGAACATACTGTGAACAGTCAACGATGACATTTATTTATTGAACAAATAGATCGATTAACAAAGCTCTATAAAATACCATATACACATGATGCAGAAGAAGTAAAGAAATTAAATTTGTATAAGCATACTGCGATTATTTTAAGACATTTATCTGTAATGTAGTGAACGGAAACACAATTGGGGACAATCGAATATATTTGAACACAAAATAGCAGAATCTCATAGTAAAATCTGAGAACCACACAGTCAACACTTCATTTCCAAAATGTCAATCAATTGTCTCAGACTTCATTGTTCCTACGATTCTACATCAATCATTCTCTGCTCTCGTTCTCTTTTATACGATCTTCTTAACCTTCTGCCACCAGGTATTTCACTTTCGATTGATGGCACATACTACTTATATCTATCGAAATCAGTAGCACACACACTAGGGAGACGTCAGTAAATGTTCCTAAAAATCCTAAACAGTTTTAAAATTATTTAAATTGATATCTGGTAATTAACAGTTTTAGAAAATCACTAGAATAATCTATATGATAATGCATCTACGTTCTTTTCTAATATAATTTATTTATCAACGACCTGCATTCTTGTTAATTATGACGTAATCTTCACAAGCTTCCAGAACTGTGTAAATTTTACGATTAACCAGTTTACTTATTGTATAGTTTAAACGTTTCTCTGTTATTTAATTCTATTTGTGTTTATCTATATAACATAAAACTGCTGATAGTGATTTCGGGTGGTGGAAATATAAAGCACTACGAGACTTAATCATAACAAACTTGAAAATCAGAAAGCCACCGTGGATTAATTCAGCCCAATGGCTAATATGTTGATCGCTCAAAGTCATATATTAATGTACAGAAGAGTGAATAGATGCACGAGTTAATAGTAAATGCAAAGGTCACTAATACCTTCGGTACACACCATATAACACACTTAACAATGGTTATTGTTTCTACAGAGAATTTTAGAAAACTTAAAAGCTTCATCAATTAACGCTAGTATGTACGAACACTCTTCGTAAAGACAACTAAGCTTTTAAACTACTTAACAATGAATATATGGTTTCAGAAGTATTTTTACATTTTAAAAACTAACACTATGTTTCCAAATCACATTAAAACTATTTGATTTACATCCTACATTATAGTAGAAAGCAAATCGCGTGTGTAAACAACAAATTTATGGGATTTACATTAGTGACAAGAGTTAAATGGACTGTAACTAAATTATGAATGCTATCCTAGCCAATCAATTAAGTTACAAGTTAACTTATATCACCAGAATAATCTGGGAACGCGAATTGTAGAGTAATTCATTAATATTTGTTGTGTAAAAACTACATTCGACTCACACATTTGATTACAAGTCTTTGGTACTTAAAAACAACCTAAAACAAACAAAATAAATTTTGACTAACATTCTCATCATATCATGAATTCCACAATAACTAATCTAATCATTACCAACAGATATTTGTCCTACGTTAGGATTCTGAAACTTTAAAACAATCATAATTTTCTGCTAGGTTTGAAGCGGTTACGAGTTCACTTAGACTGCGAACGGAACAAAGACTTGTGACCAAAGACCAATAAACTAGCTATTCTATTGCGTCTTAGCCCCGCTAACTAAAAAAGAGAAGTCGAATTCCGAACGGGAAAGTATATTCCCCAAAAAGCCAGAAGCACGAGCGATAAAAACAGACATAAATCAAAACGTATACCCACAGCATAAAATTGTCCTTGGGAAGCGTTACAAAATCGCATACTAAAAGACACAACGGACCAATAGCGTTTAAGATTCTACCATATGTGAGAAATACGACATAAAGGTGAAAAGAGCGCTTTTGACACGAAAACAAAGAAATTTCTAAAAATTACAAAATTAGATCCTTTTCCAGGTGAGTTCTGGGTATCTAACATCTTCAACATTTTCAAAGTTGGTTTCATTAATATTAACTTTATATTAGAACAATTTGAGAAAAAATGCACCAATCATCCAATGATTTGATGTTAAAAATAAAATTTCAACATTTAATAGTAACGAAAACGATTAAATCACGTTTAAAGTATTGATGTTTTTGGTTACTATTGAATGTATTTTAAGAAGTTAACAATATACATAGATTCTAAGAATAAGTAAATTACTAACAAATTAGCTGATATCCCAAATATTAATCGACTTAATTTTATGATTGAAACCTTAAAAGAATTATATAAATCTACATTGATAAATGATAATTTTTTAAAATTATATTTACTCTTAATTAATGCGAAAACAATAAAAGAAATCACTACTTACTCAGTTGAATTAGGAATTGTTTTATCAAAAGTAGGAATAAGTGGTTTTGTCAACATATCATCAACCGTAGATGAGAGTGAATCTTGAAAATGAAAAATTGAACTATCATAAATATTCAATGTTAGCTGTGAATTTATAAACAATTTTTTCTAAAAATATATATTAAGTAACAACTTCCCACTATTACATAGAACATCTTAATCATAATATTCAGTTCTCTTGAAAAGTCAGCTTTTAAAGTAATATCACAATCGAATCGACTAAGGTAAATAACTGATGATAAGTCTCATTGTAAGATGAAATGAGTTGTGTTACAAACACCAAATGATACAACAAAACATGGGCAAACACTTTTAATACAAAGCTCAGACTTGATTTCATGTGCACTGTTTTGAAATATGAAGTTTTTATTAATTCTGAGTTGATATTGTTTGTAAAATAAAAACCACTAACATATGAATCAAAAATCTATTAAACCGATATCATATATATTTCTTCGGTAACAAGGACGTTGATATATATCTTTTGTACTGGCTAATGATTACACTACGGAGTAAAATAATTCCAAAAACTCATCACCGATATAAGATGCAGACATTAAACCTATTATGGTTTAAGTTTTGGAATTATAGTTCTGCAGTTTAACTGAAAATGTTCCAAGTTCCTTTCCTAATTTAAGGTAAGGCAATGCTTTATAGAAAAAACTAATCTTACGAACAATATATTAATTCATTTGTTTTAAGGTGAATAAAGATGACTTTAAAGGGAAATGGCACCAAGTGCCCTGGTACGGCCAAGAGTGGGGTGGGCCCGCCCTCCCTCTCGAAGTACTCTCACACGGCCACGCGTATACAGCCTCTACCAGGGAAGTCCTACTCACTGCCTTCTCGCACCACGGGTGTTGTTTACGAAATTGAGAGGACAAAAAGCGAACGTCCGGCGCTTTAACCGGACCCCAAACCAATGATGCACATGGGCTCCAGGATCCTCAGGGAACAAATGGCGTATGAACCAATCGTTGGTCACCGGCTACCATGGGACTGCATCTCCTCACGATGCTTCACTGCCTTGTGGATCAGACCTTTAGGTCAAATACTCGGGGTGTGGCCCCTTAAGAAAACCACCTGCTTCGGTCTGTGCACCCGGCCAGTATCCCACCCTTCACACAAACCGAATGATTTATGTGGCGTATATCTATGTGGTGCCTTTTTGTACCAATGTTTGTGTTTAAATAAATAACAAAGATATTTTTTAGGATGAGTTACAATAACGAATGGGATCTACCAAGTATATCTGTCATTATTATTAATTTTTTGTAAATATGCTGATAAATATCAGTGGACAAACTAGGTATCATTGTGGTGTGGGCTACTGATGTCGACAGGTAAAAGTCAGTCAGTCAGTTAGTTACAACGTAGGACCAGGCATATATGTGCATCAGTCCAAGTTGCCACACCTCATTAGCACAGCATGATGAACACCAAATTCATAGAAGCAATTAACTCAATGGTGTAATATATAAAGGAAAGATTGCATATAAGGATATAGTACAGGAAGAAACTTAGTTCGTAGAAAGAAAGATGAAATTATTTTAGTCTCATAGTTTGCGGGAAGACAGAGAGTGTATACACCTACGCCATTGTGATCGATTCTGAGACATGTCACCACGAGTCTCCAACCATTGGTTACGATAGTCGCGCGGACCCCTGCATCTACCAACATGGCTCAGACCAGAAGTTAGTGACTTCGATAACTGATGCCACATTTTGGTTTGGCCGCCCCTAACTTTCTTCTAACCATACCCTGCGTCTAACCTCACTGTTACTTACCAGGTGATCCAAGCAGATCCTGACAATATTTCTAAAACATCTGTGATCAACTACTAGTAGCTTACGAGTATCTTCTACTCTTAATGGCCATGTTCCGCAGCCGTAAAGTGGACCAGAACGAACTGCCGCGCAGTATACTCTTCCCTTAATTGATAGACAAATATCTCGCCTTCGCCATAGGTGACCTAAGTTGGCAAAAGCCAAACGAGCTTTTCGAATCCATGCTAAGATTTCGTCAGACACCAACACACTATGGCTGATCAGACTTCCAAGATAAGTGAAGTTGTCAACACGTTCGACTACTTCACTCCCCATCCTTAGTTCAGGTGTTGACGCAGGCCAGTCCTGAAGCAACAACTTGCATTTAGAGGGGGACAAGCGCATCCCAAACATCCTGGCATTGTCGTTCAGTGCTACCAAAAGACTGTATTTTATCAGCGTCTTCAACAAACAGGACTATGTCATCTGCGTATTCTAAGTCGATAAGTAGACCTCCTGACGGGAGATCAATACCCGAGAATTCAGTCGACGAGAACGTTATTTCCATCAGTCGGTCTATGATGAAGTTAAACAAAAATGTAGAAAGTGGACAGCCTTGAAGGAAACCACTTGAGTTTGCAAAGGCAGATGACAGTTCGCGATAAGCTCTCACTCGACTAGTAGTGTTCCAGTAAAGAGCCTTCTCAAGGTTTATGTCAGTCAGTCAGTAACAACGTAGAACTTCGTACGTACGTACATCAGTTCGAGTTGCCACACCACATTAGCACAGAGATGCAGTGGTCGATTCAAATCCCGTAGTGCTAGATGTAGTAAAATTATAAGCTGTAATCAGAAAAATTAGGGTTTGAAGATGTTATTCAAGGAGTATAATCCAGTGAAATAAATCTGGAAAGAGAAAAAAGAAAAGGACATGAAGAATTCAGAAGATTAGAATTTGGGAGAACACAAAGAGTGTATACACCTGCGCCGTTGCAAACGATTTTGAGCCATGTCATTCAGGATCTTAAACCATCAGTTGTTATCATCTCGCAGTCGCCAACCAGGTAGTCTACACCTACCGATATGGCTCAGTTCACTTGTCAGTGACTTCATGGACTTGTGCCATGTTTTGGTCTGGCCAGCCCTAGCTTTCTTTCAATCTACTCCTATACAACAAAACATTGCACATAGAGGCAGTCGGTGAATGGGCACACGTAACACATGTCCCAGCCATCTCAACTGATCAAGTTTCACTACGTCATCAATTGATTTGCCATCCTTACCTAGTACCCGTTTCCTAACAACTGCATTACTTACTCGATGGTCCCAGGATATACGAGCAATATTTCGAAGACACCTATGATCAAATACTAGTAACCTACGGATATCCTCTACTCTTACCGGCCATGTTTTACTGCCATAAAGTAGGACAGAACGGACTGCCGCGCAGTAAACACGTCCTTTGGTTGATAGACGGATATCTCGCCTACGCCATAAATGACGCAAGTTGGTAAAAGATAGGTTTATGTACTTCTGAGGTACGCCTTTCAATGACAGACACTGCCACAGAATCTCGCGGTCTACAGAGTGAAATACTGCTTTTAGGTCAAGAAATACCACCATTGTCGGACGCCGATAAGTATGCCTGTGTTCTAGAACCTGACGAATGGTGAATATGTGGTCAATGCAGCCACGACCAGGTCTGAAGCCAGCCTGATTTATACGTGTTTGCAGTTCACGAGTCTAAGTTAGGCGTCTGATAATTATCGAGGCTAGTATTTTAGATACTATATTAGTTAAACTAATCCCTCTATGGTTGACACAGGACGATTTTGATGCCTTCTTATATATCGGGACAATGAGCGATTGCGACCAGTCAGATGGGATTACGTCCAATCCCCAGGTTTTGGCTAAAATATTAGTCAACCTAATCGCTAAAATTGGACCATCATACTTACAGACCTCTGGAGCCAATCCATCTGGACCAGCTGCCCTACCTTGTTTCAGATTAGTTATAGCCTTGTGAACTTCAGCTAGAGTCAGGGGACCTACTCCAATGTTCTACTCACGCTGTCTGGAAATGGTGAGTAGTTGTAGAGTAGATGAAGGCCAGTTGAACTGCTCCTTAAAGTGTTCCGCCCATCGTTATAAACGCCTGGGCTGGGAGCAGATAAAAGGGTCGTCTTTTTCCGAGATAGTCTCACACTTGAATTTTTAGTTCCAGTCTCTTATGAGTATGAAGAGCTGTCTGGTGTTACCTACAGCTGTAACCTACGCTGTAGTGAAGTGTGAAACTCTAAATTGATAAACTTTTGTAAATATTTACTTTTATTTGTTTGCGTTATACAAATACTACGTCAGGAGTTACATCAAATGTGTACAGGTTAACCATACAGCCAATCGTATGAGAATGGTAAAACGAGATCCGCATTTCGTAACTAGTGAATGAATAAAAATTCTAGAGATCATGGTATGACAACGAAATGAATAGAAATATATCCTCTAATCGAAAGGAAAATATACATACGATAATAGTCAACTGAGTTGTAGCTTTATAATCACCTGATATGCCAAGTAATAGTTAAAATATTGAACAAAATCTGGTCATCTTATGAACTCTGATGTTATCCGTATGTACATGCATCTAGAGACCACAGATCAGATTTACTCTAGATAACTCAGCTACTTTTACTTCAACAACTAACACAACGTAACGGTCAAGCTTGAAACTGTAAAAAGAATAACTATATGTACATATTACCTTGGTTCTTCGAACTATTTAGAGTTATTTTGGAATTATCTAATTCTAAAGAATAATCTGAAAAATTTCCGTTTGCTTTTATAGGAGATTCTACAAGGGGATCTATTTGACGTCGTTCCAAAGATTGTAGTTTAGCAGTTAATTCACTAAGATCAGTGTGAAAAGTACTATTTGAAAAGGAATGTGAATTAAAATCATCCACGTTAGAGAGCCTCGCTGTTGTTGGTGAAAATGCTGCGACACCACCTAGATCATTAATAGTTACTCCACTGCCAACATTAAAACTTCCAGTACGACTTAATGACATGAGTGATGCTATGGATATCATATCTTCATCACTGAAAAAGAGTGAAATAAAAGAAAGGATCAGTAGATATAAAAAGAAAGATGGCTTTATATACAAACGAATTCGATTATTCTTAATAACATCTATTGAGAACAACTCTCGATTTTATGTGAAATTGGGGTACATACCATCACAAATTCACAAAAGCTAAGGAAATCTAACAAAAATAATGTAACGAGATAATTGATTTGATATATCAAGAAACTATCTGATTCAATGGAAGATTCTGCTCAGAACTTTTAGATCTTAAAACAAATGTTGCACAAAAAACTAGTGGAAATAGTAAACGAATGGGTTTTCAACAAGAAACTGTGATAAGCAGCCTGTTATGAATATTGTTGCAGAAGAAACGAAAAAAAACAGAATCTTCTGAGGCTAATAATAAGTCTGATGAACGAATTTATGACTTGCAAGACGAAGGTTTATGTACAACAAACTTGTCACGAGTCCTGAATGTTTTCATTTGGGCTAATGATAAAGTGAACCAGAGGTTAGACTTTAGACAGTCCATCGTCTGTTGTTGACTTGATATGAAAATAACAAAAAAGAGATTCGTTCCTAAGGGGGGAATAAATGGAATTTTATTTAAAAAATGTCGACTGTGCAAGAGTCGAATGCCACCTAAAAGTCAAGAAACACCACCGTTGTTGGGCATCAGTAAATTTGCTTATTTCTTGTTACAGGATGTTTCAAAGATTATTGGATTTCATAGTTTACAGGTCGGATTAATCTCAGACAACATCTAAAAACCAGGGAGAACTAGAACATCCACGAGACCTGAAAACTCAGGGTTCGATCCTCAGTTGGGTTATGGATGTGCACTGTCGAGGAGTCCTGCTCTAAGACAAAAGGGCTATCCAGTGCTTTCTGGTGTTCTAACATTGTCTAAGATTAACTCGTGGTGCGAACCACAAAACTATGTCGTTGTTGAAGAACCTTACAAAAAAGTGAAAATTGGATCGGTGTATTTAAGCCCACATCTGAAACCAGTCTGATTTCTACAAGTTTCCTGTGCACAATCTTTAGGTTAAACGTTCTGTGGTAGCAATAAGTAACATTTTACACACTATATTTGTCAATGATAAATATGTAGTTATGGCAAGAAAATTTTGGTTCAATCCTATCGACCGGGATAATCTTCAGACATACAACAGGTAAATCGCGCTGGATCACCTTATAAACTAGGTAAAGCCAAGTGAATTACCATGCTATGATCCTCTGTGTGTGTATTTTAAAAGCACCATAGATCGATGGCAGTAGGTTACAAACATACTCAAAGAAGCCTTTTGGTTTCATGAAAATTCGGACAGAATTTCGTAAGTTTGAAACGTTAATACTAGTGACAGATGGTAAATGATAGTAGAAAAAGAGGAAATGTTAGGAAGCGAAGAAAGGATTCGAGTGTAAACAAAATCTCAAAGGCCATTAAAGGCAAGAAAACGGTTGTATATTTCTGACTCCCGATACAGTGGAAGGATATTTACCCGGAAACAAGAGAAGGAAGCTGAATTGACAGTAGGATTGATGACCTGAGAGTGTGATCGCGGAACCCAATGAACAACTATTTTATGTATTAACTACATCTTCAAATGTTGCCACGTGCATCGAAAATCCTTAAGAGAAAGCAAGAAATGGTTTATGGGGTCGACCATCTCTAGCCCCTAACATGCGGTATGAGAAGGCAGCATAACTGGAGATGATAGCAATCTCTCGGAAAAACCGTATTGTAATTATATCCCATTAAAATTGGTAATACTGTAGCGAAGGAGAACATAGTTGAGGACAACCGAATTATATTTAACACAGGATGACAGAGTTACTTGTTAAAATAGAATAACCATACTATAATACCTAATTTGCAAAATCTTCAATAATTGTGTCGGACTTCATTGTTCTTGCATTTCCATACTAATTGCTTTCTATTCCCGTTCTTCCTTCCTTGATCTTCCCAATCTTCTGCTACCAGACATTACATTCCTGACTCGCGTTATATACTACTTATGTCAATATAAGTAGCACGCACCAAAATACGACTTCGCCCTAGGAACTCAAATTTTCTCCCTTCAGTTTTACCACTATCCGACATACGAGCCTGAATTGGTAGTCTCAAAGAACATACGTTCTAGCTGATATGGTTTGATTGCGTCGTTACGATAGACAAGTCCAACCGACATATTGAGATGAAAGGTACGAGTAGGAACAATCAGAATATTATGTTCTAGCTTAAGTTCAACGTTTAAAACTGACAGAATCACATCTTCATTTCTAACAAATACCCAGTACAAAGATCTCAGTTTAAATAAAGCCAAGGACAATCAACACCCATATGACTTCCAAGATATAATGTTCCAAATCACTTTAGGGTCAAAATAATGAACTTTTGAGGCTTTGGCAATGTTGAACTGCACCCAAAAAAAACCACACAAGTCAGTTAAATATCTTGAAAATCCTTTAGGGAATACACTACTACTTTTGAACACAATGGTTTTCAAATTAATAATGTTAGCCTATCATTATCCTCCAGTGGTTTACATGTTAAACTTTGATAAATTTGAGACCAGTAGTTTAAAGTTTAAGAGGCTGTCCTGAGATCTGAAAGTCTAGAGTTCGAAACCCAGTTGACTGAGAAGTATTATGCTTGGGTGAAACAGCTGCTCAATCCTTTTTGGTTCTTAAAGCTTGCCTACCTCAGATCAACTGATGATCCATCCATTCATTAAGAAAATTTAGGACTTCGTTTTATACTCAGCTCACTACGGTGTGAGATATTACATTCCATTAATAATTTTCGGATACGTCGTTTTACATTATCGGTTGCGTAAAATGATGTTTCGTAATACATTGACAATGTAAAATATTTATATAATCTGAAGTAAACATTAGCGATTGGTTAACAGCTTTAAAAAGCAGTGACTCAAGTGATTTAACAACTAATTTTAGTGGAATAAAATCTTACTTACTTATAATCTTATGAATAAAACAACAACATGCATATTAAATTTTAAAAACAACTAACGTGGCTTCTCCAGCTTTTACAATAACGGAATTTAACGTAAGGAGAACTGTAGCAGATATTAACTTTTTAGAAGCGAGACGCATGACTACTTTGAGATTTGTTTGCACGGGTAAATCTGAGACGAATTCGGCTATATCGATTTGTCTGGTAGCAAGTACACGTCGTCTAACCGATGGTGTAGATGCCGCAAGTAAACCTGAAGTTTTAGCTCCAACCTGAAAACGAAATCGGAATAAAACAAAAATATACACCTAATGGAATAAACACCGTCACGTTACATAAATCCAAAGCTGAAAACACTGATCACGAACATCACTGTAGTGCATTTTACGAGTTTCAATTATATCTGATAGTTTCGAAAGATTTTTACTACCTAAATACCCCTTTCGAAGAAATAAAACTAATAAGAAGCAGTGTTTATCCAAACTTCCTAAAACTGTTTTTAATTCAAGACCAAATAATAGATAAATAAATTGTCTTCTTATTTTGAACATCAAGAAAACAAGATCTCTGTTTGATAGATTGTTAGTGAATATATATGTCCAATTTTTATCGATAAGACTTCATGAAAAGTTGCCAAAAAGCTTTATTTCGATTAAAATGAAAACTGAAACCAGGCAAATTTGAATTGTCACAAATAAGCGTAATAAATATGTATTTTGATGGACAGTCGTTATCATTGAAGATTCTATATTAATGTTTTTAAATGTCTGAGTTGCCAAATTGTTGTAAGACACACTAACAAAGTTAGTCGGAAAGGTGAAAGACTTAATATTAGTAAAAGGACAGTTACCTAGTGTAAATGTTTGAGTTTTATCTGCAAATTAATATCATAAAGATGTTGATATTAATTAGCAATAAGATTTTATCACATGACGAATAAGCCTAGGTAAGGCAAAAGTGAACAGATATCTTTATTTTTTATTATTAAATTATACATAAGAGGAAACATTGCCATCAAGCAGGAGTAGGAATTATTTTAGATTTTATTTACACAGCTGATAGTAATTGGTTTTTACACCAGGAATTCCAAAACATTTACAAGCGCTTTATGAACACTGAATTCAATTCCACATATTGTGTGTAAGGTTGATAAATCAGGATGAAAACGTCAAATCAAATCAACTGAAAAAAGCTCAAAGGGTACTTGTTTACCTAAATATACATAGCTACTTAGCGATCATAAACAATAAAACCTAGATAGCAGGAATCTTTCAAACCTATCACATTTTCTTGATTCACTCAACTAGGAAATAAACTTCGACTTAATCACAAATTAATAATACGACTAATGATATATTTGTGATATCTTAATGAGTAGAAGAATTAGATTTTCTGACGTTTTGTGACTCATGATAAGCCACTTCTTCAGGAAATAAATAGATAAACAAATTTAATTAATCCGAGTTTAAATAGGACAAAAGAACAAAGCAAAAATGTTTAGTACACTCAAATTTACAAGCTTAACTCCCTACATTCATGGAACAGGATATAAATGTTATGAATAACAACATCAACTATCAGTTTAGTGGTATTTAATAAAGACGATAATCAGATTATCATATAACAGATTTCATAACACATGCATACTAAAATTAGATTTCTGACAGATCTGCTAGTCACGAGTGATTTACTTGAGATGGTGAAATAGTTTATTTAAATAATAAAGAAAATACTAATTACATCTTCGATTTGACATATCCATTCTTTTTCTTCAAATTGAATTGCTTTTTCATTTCGATATAAAGTAGTGACGAATTCTATATTCTCCGGCATAGACCAAACATATTTAAATGAATTTGAATTGCCGGAACTTTTAACAGGTTCAAATGACTGGGAAAGAAATAAATATAAATATCTTAAAAAGTAGTAATAACGATTATTTTCTAACAGTACATTGTTTTTTATGATGAATGGATGGCAGTTATTGGATTGATAAACAACATACCAGTACTAATTGGTTGCTTAGATTATAGTACGGACTTGTGTAGTAGTGGAGTTTTGATCTGTTCAATCTCTAAACACAACACACATAACTTGTTGGCCACCGATTTCTATTCACCCTAGATTTATTAGACATTTTAAGGCAGAAATTAACAAATCTATCGTATTTTGGCAAGTTATTGTTTTTTTGAAAAAACTGACTAAATTAGAAATAAGCATTTTAGGCTGTTGATCGATGAAGTAGAAAATTCTCAAATTTGTATTTTAACTCACACTGCTACGTGGTTTGAATAACCTTACTGAATAATCTATTACCTTTGGAATAATCATCAAATATCACTTAACTGCTTTCTCGTTATACTTCTAAATTGAATAAAGAGTTGTGTTTTTTAAGTAATAATATTCCCACAGTTCAGTGATACATAAGGTACAAAGGGAGCGCTCAAGTTTGTTATTGGTACAATCCACTAGAGCCTACCTACTCGGTGTTATGTTTGTGTTATTGATGCATTTAAAAGTTGGGGTCTTCTCCTGATGATTGTAAAATATATATACATCGGTAAGGTTCATAGAGAAAGTGGAAGATTTGAAGCCAATACAAAACGTCTAATCAATTTAAATGACGGAATTTGTCTTGTGAATATACCGATGCACAGTTCCATAATTTGTCGGACAAGATCTTAAAATGACAAAACAGATAGCAACAACAGGACTTCAGCGCCTCATCAACCTCAAACATGACACTATATGGGAGCAAGTAGATGTGGTCCATACGGTTAATTTCTCCAAGTTTTGTTTAATTTCGGTTATTTATTTACTCTGAAGAAGTGGCGTATATTAAGTCACAAAACGTGAGAAATACAATTTTTCTACTCATTGAGATATAACAAAATACATATTTACTATTAACTCTCTACCCAATCCTCAACTATCAAGTCCAAACTTGGCATTGCTACCTATAATATCATTGACTCTAACAGTCGAGAGCGTAAAGAAAATGTTCCATTAATTGCAGTTTAAGCCATGCTTTTCCTGATCCAGCTTTGAACGCATGGAAATTCGATCGAATTGCATGAAAAGAAATAAGTGAAATCCCAGGTAATATTTGTTATTCTATTGAAAAATTTCAAATCTATGAGCGTCAAATTTACTTTCTCTAACAGAAATAATATATGGTTGGAAAATTAAAACTGTTCTTGATGCAATCAAACTAAATAGATCTAAAAAGTAAGAAGTGAAAAAAATGGAAAATCAGTGAAGTCGTTATAGCAAAGCGAGACGAGGAGGTTCATATGTTCGTGATTCTCGTTATTCGCCCCCGATGTTGACAGTTTTCCATGTATGTTATTTTGAAAAATCATCTTCACTTCTCCTCAAATTTGTTGTGAGCCATCTCCAAACATTTTTAGTGGTAAGAACTTATGAAAATATTTAAAAATGGTTCGCTACAAACTTTAAAAAAAAAGTAGGACAGTAGGCAACTAAAAATATCACTATTGGAATACTGGAAAAATTTGAATTTACAGGTTTTTCAATTTTGGATACGTACAGCTTTCGAATAGCCCTATTAGATTTCAATCTAACATATAATAAAAAAGATATCGGTACGTAATACAACTTCAATAACAAGTGAATTCAGCATCTCAAAAAATCTCTTATCTGGTAAACTTCACTTCATCCATCTGCAAGCTAAAAGTATGGTACTAACGTCCTTTTATAGAAACTGGTGGTGAAATACTAGTGATCACATTACAAAGAACTACAAAAATTACCTTCAGCTCAACTTCGAGGAAAGTGGCATTTTCAGAAAATTATTGTTCATTACCAGAGCCTCAAATCAATAAAACAAGACGATGACTACGCTATTCGATATCATCAACTGCTAAAATAAACACATTTGACTAGACCACCCAAAACCTATCCAGTGGTATTTCAAAACTCATTCACGAATTAGGACGTGAATTCTCATTAAACAGAATTTAGTACAATAGATCGCGTTTTGAGTGATCTAAGCCTCTATCTTCTTAGTTTGAATTTATTTGAAAAATCTGAATTAATAGATAAAACATCTAATAACAGATAACTAACATTGGAGGCAGTTTTTACTTCCGTGTAATTGTCCTGCTTATTGTGTTGGAGCACATAGTGCGTACAGATTATCACTCGTTTAAATCCCGGAGTTGAAGCTTACTAGACAAATAATATATTTATTAGTATAGGGGTTGTGCAGATTATTAAGTTTTTCATTGAGATCACGAACCGATTTATGTTAGACCACCGTTGGAAACCTGGAAGCACTGGACGGCCGTCTCGTTCTAGTATATATATAAATAGTCCGCTTATTCTCAGTAAAAGCCGTGACCAGTGGGGCTAATTCGTGTCGGGTAGAGACAGGTATCTACCTCAGTACAACGGGAGATGGTCGGGCAACACTAACACTATTGGATGCCGGCTCAGTGGTCCAGTAGGTTAAGAGTTCGCGCGCGAGACTGAAGACCCTGGGTTCGGATCCCGCGAGCGGGAGCGTGGACGCGCACTGCTGAGGAGTCCAACAATGAGACGAAACGGCCGTCCAGTGCTTCCAGATTTCCAGCGGTGGTCTAACATCAATCGGTTCAAGATCTCAATCAAAATAATATATTTGTTACATAGCAAACCGACCATTAACAAACGAATTAATTTAAAAATAAATTACAAAAGCTAAAACTAGTTAATGATGAACATATGATTTACTTTCGAAGAATATCGCCGACTGCGACGAGACCAAACAACTATTAAGTTTCCGGGGCTGTATTGACGCGAGCATTCAATATTCAGCTCATGCAAAGAAGCAGTGATCTGAAATTTAGCTGCTTTTTTTCCAACCCTTTGAAGTCTGCGCCAGACACTCATTTATTGTTGTGTATTATTTATTACCTGGAATCATATGAAGAATATATTTAGTTTCATAGGAAAATATGACAATTCAACTTATTAAGTACAGTCTGTTGTACCCGGTTAACTAAACCAAATTAGGAGAGAAAGGGTTTGAAATTCCAGTCAAATAATTTAAGAATAAAAACGTGATATAAATATATGTATGAAAAATTATGTACTTCCTTATCAAATGCTTTAGGTAACTGTTTGTGAACTACCGCGTTTAAACTCAAAGTAGTAACTTCAATTTACGAAGTCGAGTAATATCACGACTATACACAATTGATCCGTTTAACAGTGAAAAGTTTTGCTTGCGCTACAGTTGGCGTAAAGTGGCAAAAGTTGAGTAAGCTTTTAGAATGTGTTGAAATTTTTATAGTCTATAACCCTTTAAATTTAAGACTTCTAAAATAAATGAGGTGACTGACACGCTCAAGTACTTACTTATACAGTCAGATAGAATTAAAAAACAAAACTATTATATGCGTGCTTCGGGTAGATAAGTCCCTTTAAGAGAGTATGGATGATGAAATCAATTAAAAGTAGCAGTAGTCTGCATTTACCAACATAGCTCAAACCAGAAGTTAGTGACTTCGATGACTGATGCCACATTTTGGTTTGGCCGCCCCTAACTTTCTTCCAACCATCTCCAACACCGGTTAGCATTGCACGTCGTGGTAATCGGTGTTCAGACATACATAACACGTGACCCAACCATCTCAGTCGATAAAGATTCACAACCTTATCAACTGATTTACCATCATTCTCTAATACCCTGCGTCTAACCTCACTATTACTTACCAGGTGATCCCAGAAGACGTGAGCAATATTTCTAAGACATATGTGGTCAAATACTAGTAGCTTACGAGTATTTTCTACTCTTAATGGCCTTGTTTCGCAGCCGTAAAGTAGGACAGAATGAACTGCTGTGCAGTATACTCGTCCAAACAAGCTTTCTGAATCCGTGCAGATTTCACCAGACACCAACCCGTTAAGGTTGATCAGACTTCCAAGATAAGTGAAGTTGTCAACACGTTCGACTACTTCACTCCCTATCCTTAGTTCAGGTGTTGACGCAGGCCAGTCCTGAAGCAACAACTTGCATTTAGAGGGAGAGAAGCGCATTCCAAACATTCTGGCATTGTTGCTTAGTGCTACCAAAAGACTCTGCATTTTATCAATGTCTTCACCAAACAAGACTATTTCATCTGCGTATTCCAAGTCGATAAGTGGACCTCCCGGTAGGAGATCGATGACCGAAAATTCAGACGACAAGAACGTTATTTCCAGAAGTAGGTCTATGATGAAGTTGGAAAACATTGAGATAAAAAAACAGTCTTGAAGGACATCATTTGAGGTTGCAAAACCAGATGACAGCCTTTGAATGATGTCTGAAATATTGATCTCTATAATTATTCGATGCCCCAATGAGGCGCAGGAACATCAAACCCGAAAACACTACCAGCTTTAAGCCCAGAAGTCTATGCCAACCTGGTTCATCTACGATGCTGCCGTAACTTTTGCCAGTTTTCAAAGGATCGAGTACACGGTTTATGAGTGAGAGCAGCTTTCTATTACTTGCGAAGCCCAAAGTCTCCTGGTTGAGGATAATCAGCAACTGCGTTTGACCAACACTGTGTAAGAAAGATTGCTTAGACTCAGTGACAACACGGTAAATGTAATACAAAGGCTGTCAATTTGTGTTTGGTAATTGATGATAATTCAATGATAGTTATCGACTACATCAAAAAACGACAGCGTTTTGATAAGAAATAACATGTTTTACAAGGAGAAAATAACAGACAGATGCTCGAGCAATGATTGTTACGTATTTTCATGTATGTGCAAAGTCCCAATGTCATTTCCGAAGTTACATTGCGATCTGATGACAGTTTTCGTCAGCAGAGCCGGCCAATTCACCAGTAAGGCCGTTCCAATCTCGAGACACTTGCCAATAATATGATTGTAACATTTCCTATGAATCCTATGCACATGGCATACTTAAGTGTGATGAAGAAACTAATCAATCTATGGATAGATTTCCAGCACAAAAGACTTGGAAATATCAACCAACCTTTATTTATGGATATAAATAATAGGAACAATAACGGGGCGGATTTGCATGCATATAACATACCATTCTCTTCGAACCTAGAACACAACAATAGCATCATGCACTGTCCCATCGCCCTAGGCAGATCAGGCAACCCGAGAGTTACGAGAACACCACCACGGCATGCGACAGGCTAGGTACCCCCAAATGCCCTGGTACGGCCGAGTGGGGAAAGTCCGCTCTCCCTCTCCAAATGCTTTCACATGGCCACGCGTATATAGCCTCTACCAGGGAAGTCCTACTCACTGCCTTCTCGCACCACAGGTGTTGTTTACGAAATTGAGAGGACAAAAAGCGAACATCCGGCGCTTCAACCGGACCCCAAACCAATGATGCACATGGGCTCCAGGATCCTCAGGGAACAAATGGCGTATGAACCAATCGTTGGTCACCGGCTACCATGGGACTGCATCTCCTCACGATGCTTCACTGCCTTGTGGATCAGACCTTTAGGTCAAAGGCTCGGGGTGTGGCCCCTTAAGAAAACCACCTGCTTCGGTCTGGACACCCGGGCAGTATCCCACCCTTCACACAAACCGAATGATTGATGTGGCGCATATCTATTTGGTGCTTTTTTGTACCAATGGTTATGTTTAAATAAATAAATAAATATAGATATAAGTAAATTAATCTCAATTCGTGTCGAAAATACTCCTTCAACTACCATTTCGGTCACTACTATATAAACATCCGTCAAGTTTGACTCCGAAAAAAAAACAAATAATGCTGAATAGCACTAGAATTACTAGATTTGCGCCTGATAACGTAATAACAGTACACAGTAAACCTGGTTTAGTCAATGATATAGAGGAAAACGTAATAATTAAACTTAGACCATTCATGGACCCAGGTGATTATTTCGCGGAACCATTCCCTTCTAGTGACAGCTATATTTATGTGCTTGATGGTTAGTCATGAGCACATGAGTTTCCATTACCGATGTTGACTGTAAATATATTTCCGTTAACTGTGTTAATAATGGAATAACCGGTCCATTGCTACATACGTTCATGTGAATATATGATTTTTTTATTCTTGCTGATGGTATTAGTCAAAACCAATTCTCGGCCTTTTATATACTGTTTAGCCTACTAACATCAATTCGTTTTTTCAACGCACCAAACAGGAGGGAGGTCCTAATTGCAGCTAACAAGTGGACAGTAGGCAAAGAACTTTGTCTGTATCCCACTGACGTTGTTAATATGCACCAGCAGAGCAGTCCCCAAGAAAATGATAACTAGTCAATTCTAAAGTGCAAGGTCATCCACTACTGCGGTGAGTTACCAATACAGAGAAGTTCATTTCCTGTAGATCATTTACGGACTGCAAAGAATTTGTTAGTTTCTTTCAACAATTTACCTGATTAACGTGTCAGAAGTTTAACGGACGAAAACACCTTATACTAGACGCAGAGAAGCCGAAGAGGCCAGTATAGTGATCTTATTAATGTTTTGTAGAAGTGAACTGAGACGGAAAGAATGGTTTCTTGATAATTTCGTCAACATGTAGGCTGGAGAGTCCCTTTCAATATCCTAAATCCCGGTTACTGGACACTATTATCTCATCAATAGCGAAGTAGGCATATTTCATTTTAAAATGTTATTAAATTAGTTCGATACAGTTGAGTGTGTCACCCCCAACGTCCGAATCGAAACGTGTGGGCAGTGCGTTGGTAGCAGAGTATGTCATGTTTCCGATAGAAGCTAATGCTTAGGATTCGACAAACTGCATGCTGTATAGCAGAAAATATCATCAGACTTGAGTGCAGACATTATGCAGCTAATTTCTAAGTCTAATGAGCGTGAACGTCCACGCAAATTTGATATTGTACTATCGAAATTGTAGTTCCCTTTGTCGTCTGAAAAGGAATTGCGAACTAGGCGAACTAACATCACGGTACTTATCGTCATCCGTTAACGAAAAGGAACTTGGTAAACTCTATGACATCACGACGCGGGAATATTTCCATGACATGAGAGACAAAATACAAAAGCATCATACAAGAAAACCGGAACATGTATGTATAAATTTAAACTTGTAACTTTTTACTGCCGTTCTATAAGTGCAGTGTTCAATATTAACGGACATAACCGTAAGTCATACTGCAGGTCGACAGTTGTTTAATAAACTATAGCAGTTAGACATTGCAAATTTTAGTGTTTAATTAATTTCAGAATCCACAGGAAGATTGTTTTAGTTCGGAATACAAACATTCCACTTTAAGGAAGGTGTTGTTATTGAAATGCTTTTATAGTTAACTTAATTTTTAGTACAACTTTTTCCTTCTATCTACTAAATTTCTGATTGTGTTTGAAACTCGTAAATTAATAAAGTGTGTAGTAGAAGCCAGTTACATTTCATACGCACATACAAATTAGGCCACATCACACCTGTTATTTCTTTGTAGATTTTCGTAAAAGATATTGGTACTTTGCACTTACATTAAAATACGTAGCATTCGTTGCGCAAGCATCTGTTATTTATATCCTTGTAAAACATGTTATGTCTTGTCAATAAATGTCTTTAACGCTTCGCCATTTTCCAATGAAGTTGGTTGCAGTCGTCGTGTGGTTTGTTATAGAGATGAAGACGAGACATTTGGAGCCAAACAAAGGTGGATAACAAATTGTAATCAAGCGAAGTATGGATAATATGACGACATCTCAAATATGGAGACAAAAAGCATTATTTTCGCATGACGAGCATCAAGGAGACTTCGTAATGTTATTCCAATATTAACCATTACTTTGAAAAAGATGTTTTCTTAATTTCCCCCTTTTCGACTTTATTTCCCCATTATTGATTATTATGGAATAGCATTCAAAGTACGGCAAAGTGAGGTGAGATCAACATATAAAGCTATACACAATCAAACTCCTTCGTCGACATAGACGAAATTTATGTGATGATGCTTCTACATGACATAATAGCGAATAACTTAAAATCACAATTAGTTTGTGTATGGTGAATTAACGGCATTGTGACAATAAACAAAAAAACCGAAAAAAAACGAGAAGCGTAAAAACATTGTCAGATAACAGATCTCAATCCGACTTACAATGAGCAATAGCTTAGGATGAACAACCTAAAACAAGCTCTGTAACAAACAACGAAAACCACCGCCACATTTCAATGTCGCGCTATCCAATATTCAATAACGTGGACTCGAGCTTACGAAAATCAATCTATTTTTTCCCCTCGTTTCTTGTATTTTTGGTACACTTACATGTGTTTGAGAATGTTCTATGTACAAAAGTCCAGCCACACGGCTGCACTAGCCGTAAACACATTGATAATTATTTTCAGATTGATATGTCTTGTAGTTTAAGTGCATATGTCTCAGGACGTTAGGGATCATCAATAGCAGCAGTAAACTTGTCATCAGACAAGAGGTTGGTTGATTTCAATGTGCAAATATCAAGGTGACAATTTGGGTGCCAAGAGAATACGAATGTTCCAAGTATATCCAATAAGTTCAGTGATTTATATTGTAGGGCTTTTGTCACTTCGACTGTGAGAGCAACTACTAAAAAAAAACGTGAGACGGTAAATGTGCTCTCGCCGGCTAAAGCCCTGTTTTACGAGTGTTACCTTGATGAGAGTTTTTGTGACGTGGTTGCGTCTAGGAGTACTTTTTATGCTACACGCAAACATCAAACTTCTTATTCACTCAAGACTCAGAAAGAATAATCACCGGTTTAACGAAAGGAAAACAATAAAAAATCCCTCTACAGCATTTCCATGGATAGTACTATCATTTATTTGTTTCTTCTCCCCGTCGTGTATTTTAACCTATATTCGCATCTCTTTTAACCACATTTTAAGTAATTCAATCTTCCCTATCTTAGGTTTTTGTATAAAGACCAAGCTTTTTTGCGAATATTTCCACATGTTGCCGGACTATTGACAATAAAGTCATGTTTGACTAAGCTTAAGATCACGTTGTGGTTCAGTGTGTGACTGTTTAAGTTTGACTGTGTTCTTAGAAAGATTGACGGAATCCCTGCAGATAGATATCTGGTCTCATATCTTTGGGAGTATTTACATCAATCCGTTTTGTATTATTTATTCCTTCTGTTAATTAGCACGCTAATTTGTGATGGAGAAACGCTTGACTGTATAGCACAAAGATGACCGTTAGAGCCATTTTTAAATTAAACACAGAGTGTGTGTCCGCTTATAATACAATACGAATAACTCAAAAACGCTTTGCACGCTATATGAAAGAACGTTACCTGATGTAATAAATAAATGTTGGTTCCTTAGTTCTGCGTTCAAACCGAATATTGGCAATCCGGTCGTTGCACAGATGCTGTGATCTTTCTTCTTATCAAGCATTCTTTCGCTAGTAACCCACTTAGTTCCACATCTCTGTACTCTGTAAGAGATTTATTTCTCTTTTGAAGAGGATGGGTGCGGGAACATGTTGAACATCAGATCAAAGTCGTGCGTGTGTTTTAGAATCATTTATTAGAAAATCCAGGATGATTATTCCGTAGATTAAAGCTGCTGAGACAATTTTATATGAACGTTCAGTACTGAAATAAGATGAACGAATGGACATTAAGTGGTTCTCTAGGTGTATTGGTTGACAACTACACGGCCATTGATAACGCATATACGATAAATGAGTCACTTTACGTTCAATATCCAGCAATTGAAAATCATAAATGATGGGCACGGGAACACGTGATCTGCATTGGATAGGTCCGCCGTGCGGAGCTGTTCAGTCTATGTTACCGTTTTTATTCGCATCAATATATTATTCTGTCTTGAGTCAACATTTGTTCTAGTGAGGTCATAAACGGCAAACTGCTGATAGACAGAGTCAGTATAGACACTGGCATGACCTTTATATAAGATCTCGTAGCTTAGGCAGTTATATCATTAAATCTACAATTCCGGGATTAAATCTATTATTCTGTTGGTAAATGCATATAGTACGTACCAAGATTTTATTCATCCAGTCTTCTGTAAAACTCCTGATACTGCGATACTATATCTCGCACTCACCTTTTTTTACCGTGATAAGCAACATTTTGTACTCGAAATTACTTTCGAATCAATATAGAAGTGGGTCACAACGTTCGACGTGAGGGCGAGGGTTAATGCTGTGTCGACAGCTATACAAATGTCATGAGATATCGAATAAAACACCTACTTTAAATTAAGAGTGATAGATCAACTAAAAGTTTTTTTTCATTTGGAATATAAATGACATATGTAATTCTTAGAGATGCTAGATTCCCGGAAATCATTTGGTAAGATTCTGATTTTTGTATTTTCACTTTGGAAATTTGAGTTTCGTCTAATGAAATCGAAAGTGGATAACAACGTTCAAAAGTCCTCAATACGACACTAAAATGGTTCGGTATAACAGGGTTCTGATCTATCGGAAGTTCATGTACACCAGCAACTACCTAACACGACCAAATCCGCGCCCGCTATTCCTCACTCATCTCACTCGAACGGACAAAAACTAGCCCTCTGGCTTCATACCGGCACTGTGATGCATGGTATTCCGTACAAATTTGTACTTTAAGACAGTGTCGTTAAAAGGAATCATAATCCACTAATAACAGCAGTGGAAGCACTAATTTTCGCTTAGCTTTCGACAAAGGAACATGCAAACTATAACCTGACAACTTCTATTCACGTTTTACCAGTATCAGCTCCAGATATACAATCTGCTTCCGAGAATGACCCTATCATTAAGGAGACGATTCACATCAGCGTCGGTTCGCCGTCTAGTAGTTTCGATAGTGATGTGAAGCAACTTTACCATCGGGATTAATTATGTATCATGAGCGAATGCTTGATGTTTGGAAAGAGGGTGGTGGTGTCAAAATCTCTACGATCAAAGATGCCGAAGCAGTTTCATATTGTTCATCCTTGTGTAAAACGAATGAAATCCATAGCTCGTAGTTATGTATATTGGCCTCTTGTGGACAAGCACATATTAGATTTGGTGGGCAAATACACAGTGTCGACAAGCGGCGAGATTTGACTCGAAAGTACCGCAGGTTTCATGATCACGGCCTGAGTATATCTTGTCCAGGATACATGTCTACTTCGCTGGCCCAGTTGATGGAAATATTTGCCTACTTGCAGTTGATCCGCGTTCGAAATTGTCCGGAATCCGTCTCATGATGCCACCAACGACGACCAAAGCACTACAGCACTAGGCTGAAACTTTTCCTGCACTGGATTACCTAGTGCAACTGTGTCGGATAACTGTCTGCAGTTCGCTTTCCGTCAGTTCCAAGTATTCTGCCAACGGCCTACCTTCAAACATTTTCGCTTCCGCATCACCGTCCACAGTCAAATGTTCAGGCACAAACGTTTTTGGGCACGCGATGAGAGAAATTGTTATATCATATGAAAAATATTTCTCAGAATCCTTCGGTATACAAAATTAAGACCAGTGTATGTCTACGAAACTCTCCAGTTGTGTCAGTATCGGTCTTGTTATATGCCGACGAGTGGCCACTCACACTATGGAATACACAGCTAACCCACAGACGTCTTACCTAGGAAGAAATTTAGATTGAGAATCATTGATATTCTACAAACTAGGATGAAATATTTCCTAGACCACTGTTCAAGTTTTATTAATAAAATAATCGAACAACTAAATGTGTAATCAGCCAAAAGATTTCTTTTTTATCTTCATCACTCACAAAAAGGAGATACTAAAGCAAAACCAAGTCGATCGACATTAGTTTTCGTACAGTGTTTTATTACGAAAACACAACCGAAATGAACCTCTATGTATGTGAACACAATAGTATGAAGAATGAATAAATTGATGGCATTAGGAACACTTGGCCAACTTATTTCTGTATTTTTATTAGAGGGCAGCAAAGTAGTTAAGTATAAATATTGATGGAAACTGAAAGCATTTTGTAAAAAACGAATGCTTAAATCCTCAAGTACTTAAAACGACACAGAACACCAACTTGAATGAATTCGCTAAACATTTTGATGAGAATGCATGCCTTTTACTTGAAACTTCACTACGGGTGACTGACTGAAGGAACAAACAGATACATCTTGAAAATAAGGAATAGAAATAATACTTGTTTTCGTGATTTCCTAATCAATATAAAATTGTATTTTTACTCAATGGGATATCACAAAAATATATTTATAATTAACTTTTTATTGATGTTCAATTTATTTGAAGCTATCGCGTAAAATCTTGGCATTGATAACCAAAAAAATGAAAAGTACGAAGTAATGGTAAAGATCAATACCCAAAAGGAAATGAATACAACTGCATTCCATCCATAATAAGTTGAGTCTCAAATAATTGATTACAATTATCGTGTATGTTTACACCGCAAAACATTTTCTATTTAGGAGGAAAATAAAAACCAACAGAACTTTGTGATGAATGAATTTAGTCTTATTCTCGTGATTTACTTAATTAGAATCAAATACGTAGAGACTGAAACATTGAAATATATAGAATTTCTTAATGGAAACAGTAAACTTGCACAATTTGATCGTATGCCAACTTGTTATTTATGAACGATACATATTCTCAAATATATTAGACGTTAAAATTCGTCGTCTCTTCTATTATATTCACATCACAGAACTTTCAGTGAAATAATGAAACACATATGTACATCATAATATCTACAACAATATTTCGTGAAAAAAATTAGTCGCCAATATAAAAAAATAGATTTCAGTCTGAGCTAGTAAAAATAAGTCAACGAAGTGGAATGTGATGATCTTATTGGTTCATTACATAAAAACAATTGTTCATTTGGTAATTGATATGAAAAATGGTTACAACAACGAATAAATTTTTCAGATGTACTTGCCTTTGTATTAAAAAATTGTTATCAAAGTATTTGTGGAAAAATTATAAATAGAGTAATGTTAGTGTTTTCAAGTATTAATTCCTTTGTGTATTGTTTGTTTGAATACTCACATTGATGTTTAGGACTGGAATTGATCGGTTTTGCGGTGGTGATGTTGTTTACGAAACTGAGAGGACGAAAAGAGAATGTCCGGCGCTCTAACCAGGGTGGTGGAAATGGAGGACCCAACAAGTAGAGTTGAATAACCCTGACTCCGAACCAATGGCGTACATGGGCATATGAACCTATTGTTGGTCACCAGCTATCATAGGGCTGCATTTCCTAATGGTGCTCCACTGAGTTGTAAAATATACCTCTAGGTCAAATGCTCGGGGTGAGACCCCTAAGAAAACCAACTTCAGTTTAGACACCCGGACAGTGTCACAACCCTCACACAAACCAATGATGACCGCTACTAGTCTCATTGTTAATGTGTAGTGTATATGTATGTAGTGCCCTCTTGGACCAATGTTTATGCGTTCAAATAAATAAATTGATCAGCCCCTTACTGACATCCAGTGCGGATAGCCTCGATATCGCATTATGAGCAAGGATGGATGTTGGCTCATAATGTTATAACATTGCAATCTAATATATAATTGTTGATAAATATGGGGTTCAATGATAACTTAGTATTTGTGGTGGACGATAGCAAGTGATTGATATGTCACCTTAAATTTATGGGCAGAATTAAAATGAAGCGAATTTCTATTTCAAAATCATACAACTTAGCTCTCTATTTACTAGCTGTGTAATAATAATAATATAACGAACAACGCTTCTTAATGAATTCAACAAACACTATTATTGTAAAAAAATTGTAACTAACAGTGTATTAACGGAAATAATTACATTCAATGGTCATGACTAATATTTCGTTAATAGAAAAACGTAAATCACTTTAATAAAATAAATTTAATAAAATCCCACTACAGTGAAAATGGCTATATAAAAAAGTCTTCTTCATCTGTTTGTTATTTCTGACTAGTAGTGATCGAAACAATTATTTATAAGGACAGACGAAATTAGGAAGACAAAATTAAAGGTAAAATAAAACGACAAAACCACATGTTAAATATAATTACCATTGATATTATAATGTTAAACGAGAACAGTGACAGAAGAAATTATATACATATATGAGAATTATATATATATGCTGGCAAGATAAAAGCAATAACAACAAGGCTGGCCAAAAGATTAGTTTGTAATCATCACTGATAGACAAATAAGGAGCAAAGAAATCTCTTAAAATTTGGAAATTAAAAAAACCGGAATGTATCACATATAGGTTAGTAAACAACTTTTGTTAATGAAAGCAGGCAGAGAAAAAGTAATTCCTACTACATATAACCTAATGTTAATGATGTGATTGCGAAAATTTATACATGTACTTACTTTTTAAGTAAGTTAACATCATTATCAATAATAACAACGGATATTATAATGAATTATCAACATTTTTCATTATCATCAAGATAATCTGCTAAAAATAGTCTAAATGATTCTTGACCACTTTTAGCGTCAACAGTTGATAAGAATTCTGACTCCAGTAGTTGAACATAATTCGGTCTATCATCCTTGTTCTTCATAAGACATGAATCAATAAATTTACGTAGTGAATTTGGATAACAACTTGATTCTGGCAATCGTGGTGATGGTTCGTGAACAACCTTAAAGTAGAACCACATCAATTAGATTATAGTTTTTTTTAGTAATCATATGATTGACAAGTTTAAATGAATATACACAGAAATAACTTATTGATTTAGTTTTTGATATTTCAAATAATCTTTTATAAATCCAACTTACAGAATTGTTTAAGCCAATCACGATTTTCAAGATACGTTATACATCTTAGTGCTTACTCTGGTATGATATAACATTGTGAGAATCGTTTTTAGATCCTACTGATAAGAACGCAGTGAAGCTTTCATTGGATTGGCGATCAAATATATTTTTATAAATCGTAAACGATAAGTCATGCACTTGTGTCCATACTTCTGAAATTTTAAGTGAAAACTTATAAAATAACCTATCATCTTTTAATCAAAACAACCATACATTCTACTAGTTTATTTTGTTGTTATTTGACTATTATGTTAACAAAAAAGTCCCTAATATTTTTTTCGTGGACTTTGAAAATGTCACAGATCAATAGGAATTTTTTTAGATCATTTAGTCTAGATGTGGATCGTAACGTGGCATTTATTAAAATATTTGACAACAAACGAGAACATCTGAACACAATGAAGGAGAAACTGAGGACGGTTCACATCTCAATTGTAAGATGATGTTGTAGGGTGCGTTTACGACGGCACACTTGAATAGCTAAAATGAAATGGTTGAATAAGTTGACTAATTCACTTATTTAGTGGCGGATAAAAATGTCATCAAAAAACTTTGTTAAGATGTCCAAACGACAATCAAATAATTGTTGTAGGTTATGTACCATCTAACTTTGACAAGAATGCTGAAGATGAATGGGATAAGGTTATATGCATTGGATCATTTATGTCTTTCAAGCTACTTCAGCCGGAGTACATTCGCCCTAGGTCCCACAAACTTGTACTTAGAAGTCACATAATTCGTCAGGTAAAAGAATATGAAGATCATCATCATACTTTAAAATAATACAACCTGAATGTGATAGCTTACAATAAGTTGGAAAGCTGTTAACGCCTTTGGTTATCACACTAATATGGTAGTGTTTAGATTTCTAAGTATTTTATCACAATGAATTGCATGAAATAAGCAATTGAAGAAAAAGTTTCTGCCAGAGTTTTAAGTTTTATTACTAACTAGTAAACCACTGGAATAATTGGCGATTGGTTAGTAATATACATGTTCAGATGAAATGCCTAAATAAAAAGCCCCGAATCGCCATCACGTTGATTAATAGGCGGGATAGGGATTATTCTACGAATGTAATTATTCGTAATAAAATAAACTTCCAAATACAAATGGAATGTATGCTAATCGATAAAGAAAGATCTATGAACGTTAGATAAGATTGGACTATTGAGTTTTGCACTAGTGGATATGATATGACGTCATTTGAGTAAAGGATGACTACAGAATTATAGAGACATTAAAAACGTAATTACCTGGACCAATTGCTGAAATACATTTTGGGATTGAGGATAGCAAGGTTTTCCAGTTGCTAATTCAAGTACACTCAAACCAAGTGACCATACATCTGAACGAATACAAAACCCTTCATTCTCTCGTGTATTAATTCGCTCTGGAGCTAAATAAGCTCTTGTCCCTATGTTGGTTAGTGCGATTGAATTTTCTAAATCGGCTGATATTCCAAAATCACAAACCTTATTCATAAAACGGAAACAAAAAGAGTTAAAAAGTTATGCAGTAATTGAACTTCAGGTTGAAAATATTCCCGTATCACAAACAATTAATTTATTTAATAAGAAAATACAATACATAATTAAAGATAATAGCTAATGCAAATTTTTCCAACTTTTTGTCTTACCTTTACTCGGCCTTGACAATCTGCAAGCATGTTTGAAGGTTTTACATCACGATGTATAACCTCAAGTTGATGTAGATATTCAAGAGCCTCAACAACCGATAATACAATGTACGCTAGGACGTCAGTAGGAAAAGTACGACCACGGTTGTAAACCTATGAAGAGTAATCATGAAAACGGAAAGTGAATACATCTACTTATAACCCAACATTATAGCATGTAGTGATAAATATTTAAAAAACATAAAAAATGCCGTACTTTATCTATTTCATCAATGAAGAAACGAATGTTAAAATACCTTATCATTATTGTTTGACAAACTCACTTCGACCAAAAGGGGTGGCGTATTCCTGTAATCTAGCAACATTAAGTGAATACACATTGAAAGGTAACTTTTGTGAAAGTAAATTATCTTGGTCTTACTCCTACCAGCAATCGCTGATACTTCATAAAGATTCAAGAATAAGCTTCCCAAACAATATATTTATTAAAGATAACACAATAGGATCCTGACTTTACAGTTTTAATAATGAACTGCAAGACGTGAACTCCATTTTCATTTGAGTTGGTCGATAAACCATTAGTGTAAAACTCATGCTTTGTACACAAATCAATGAATACTTGATAAACTGCACTAGCTGATGATCTTAAAATAACAGAAAAAATTATACTAAAATTTTAGAATATACCTATCCAAGCTGCCATACATCACATAACTAGTGTGATAGGAAATTCATAAAACGAGAAAAGAAAAGGGACGAAAACAATCATGCTATCAGTGGCAAAGAACTAGAGACAAACAATGTGTACTTGGAGAAAGTGCGCATGTATGTGTATCAAAACAACACATATTGAGATATATACCTCGAAGTCTATTACTAGTTTGGTTGTCTGTAAAGCTTTAGTCAGGAAGTCAGCAACTGCCTACATGGTTCATGAAAGAAGTCAATCGCCTTGATAAATTGACATTATGTTTTGATTAGACCACCCATAATCTATTTTTAGCCCAACCCTACCATAGTCTGAATAGGAAATTAACATTAGATGGACGCATGTAATATATATCCTAACCATTAGACAAGCAAACTTTTACACATACTTTTATTTCATCACTCATCGACAGTCTGATGTGATTTTTCAGTTGAATGAGGCCGATTTTCTATTACGGATACGTTAGACATGGAGTGAACGAAAACGTAGGTACGGTAAACCAATTTATTGTTTTATGCAAAATCAAACAGTTCCTTTGTAAAATAGGGTAATCATACATTAAAAACATCATTTGCGTATCTTCCTTGAGTTGCCCTTTACTTCCTTCATTATTCTTCAAATCCTGTTGTTATTCCAACTGTCTTGTATTCCTTCACTTAATTTCAATCTTCTGGTACGCATTCCAATTCCAATTCCTGCTACGCACTACTTATGTATGTCCACACCATAAACGCAGCTTGCAAACTGGTACTAAAACGCTCTCAAATTGTTGGAGAAACTTCCTAAAGTGCTTAGAATTTAAATATTACTAATACGATGTATGGTGTACACAAGAAGTGAATTCAAATGAAAATAAACAGGAAATTCGAAACCTGAAATGTGTCTTAATTTAGTAATAACGTAAAGTGATATAACAAAGTCATACAAAATGTTACACCCATCTGGAAACAACTCACTTTCTTTAGTAATTTGTCCAAAGATGTATCCATTAACTCCATAACAATAAGAACATCACCTTCACAAAACAGACCACAGTAACAAGTAACCACAGATCGGTGATTACAGCGTGTACCAACAGCCAATTCTCGAGAAATAAGAGGTCTTGAGAGGTAATTCAGATGGACGGAAATGTGTTTGACAGCAAAAACGTGTGACGTGGGTGTATGGATCATTTTTTCTACTCTTCCATAATACCCAGATCCTGAAGAATAGAGGTTAAATGGCTACTGAAAACTCAAGCAAATTCATGATGAAGAATGAATACAGGAGACAATCATCGAGTACTTCCATTAATTAACATAAATTATCCGCTGAGAATACAATTATTGTTAAGCCATATCAATAACTATATCTGGATTTGGTAACATTTTGAATTTCGATACATAAACTCATCAGTTGAGATGGCTGGAACACGTGTTACGTATGCCCAACGATCGACTGCCTCGACGTGCTATGTTCAGTGGTATAGGAGTAGGTTGGAAGAAAGTTAGGGGCGGCCAGACCAAAACATGGCACAAGTCCATGAAGTCACTGACAAGTAGACTGAGTCATGTTGGTAGGTGTAGACTACCTGGTTGAGGACCGAGAGATGATAGCAACCGATGGTTAGAGACCCTGAATGACATGGCTCAAAATCGTTTGCAATGGCGCAGGTGCATACATTCTTTGTGTTCTCCCAAATTTTGATCTTCTTATTCCTCCTTGTCTCTTTTTTTCTCTTCCCAAATTTCTTTCACTGTATTATGCTCTTTAAATAACATCTCCAAACACTAATTTTCCCGATTACTGCTTATACTCTTATTACCTCTACCACTACGGGATTTGAATCGACCACTGCATCTCTGTGCTAATGTGGTGTGGCAACTCGAACTGACGTACGTACGTACGTACGTACGAAGTTCTACGTTGTTACTGACTGACTGACTGAAAAAACATATTAGGTTTATTCAACAACAGTGATGGACAAATAATCGTGTATCATCATCTGTCGGATGAATTACACGTAGAGTAATGAAATTATGTAAAACCGATGTTTTAACAGACTAGTGAATTCAATATATATTGGATAACATCATTAAGATAAAAGAACTGCATTCACAATTAACTGAGTTAAAGGAAATAAATTTTTGCAGTAGCAGTGATTTAACCAGAATGTGTCATACGCCACTTTCCAAGTTGATATGAATACTTGAATCTTCAGTAAATAAATCGAATCATGACTTTTGACTAATAGCTCATCAGCAGTGCGTTGACATCGTCTTTCATGCAACAGAACTCCTTCAACGTAGCCGAAATACATATGTTAAGAAAATGAAACATAAGTTACAGAAAGGCTCATCCCGAATCAAAATAAAGTGTTGAAATTCTATTAAGTTGTATGGTGAATTTTATTTGCTGAAATAGTGAATAGAGTAAACTGGTCTATTTTTACATTATTTTAACACTACGACTTCAAGCAGTATACATGGTATGATCAATAGTTTGGATCATACGAATATATAACCTAGAAAAACATGCTAAATGATAGTAAAGTGTGAATTTTAGAAGAAAGGGAAAAACATTATTAACATTCAGTGACTGATTCAGAAATCCTTAACTCCTAACCGTTAGGAAAGAAAAACAAACCCGATGAGCTAAGTGGCAAGTATGTAGGTAAAGTAAAATAAGTTGATAATAGGAAGAATTAAACTTTGTGCTACTATGAGGACGTTTACAGAAACCGGTTGCAAGGCAATCAACAAGACAAGATTTACAAAACTTAATCCTAGATTTATTTGAACACATAAATATTGGTACAAAGGGGCACCGAGTACATATGCATCACACAAGTCACTTGAATTGCGAGTGATCTGCGATACTGCCTGGGTGCCCAAACCGAAGCAGGTTGTTTTCTTACGGGGCCACACCCGTAGCCTTTGATCTAAAGGTCTGATCCACAAGTCAATGAAGCAGCGTCAGGAGATGCAATCCCATGGTAGCTGGTGACCAATAATTGGTTCACACGCCATTTGTCCCCTCAGGAACCTAGAGCCCCCCTGAATGCCCTGGTACGGCCGAGAGTGGGGAGAGTCCGCTCTCCCTCTCGAAATACTCTCGCACGGCCACGCGTATACAGCCTCTGCCAGGGAAGTCCTACTCATTGCCTTCTCGTGGCGGGGGTGTTGTTTACGAAAATGAGAGGACGAAAAGCGAATGTCCGGCGCTTTAACCGGATCACAAACCAATGGTACACATGGGCTCCAGTATCCTGCGGGAACAAATGGCGTATGAACCAATCGTTGGTCACCGGCTACCATGGGACTGCATCTCCTTATGATGCTCCACTGCCTTGTGGGTTAGACCTTTAGGTCAAAGGCTCGGGGAGTGGCCCCCTAAGATAACCACCTGCTTTGGTTTGGGCACCCGGGCAGTATCACAGCCCACACACAAATTGATGAACTCTTTATGCCTATGGAAATTACATTTCTCGCTTTGAAAAACAAACAATTGATTCAGATTATTATCATTACAATTATTGTCATTATTAATACTAATATTATTATTACTACTATTATTGTCATTATTGTTATTATTATCATTATTATTACAATTTTCCACATTATTCACCCTCTTTTATACTTATACAGCGGCTCGTCTTTGGTGGAAATCCGACTGTATCTAAACGTCCTCGAGTCACTGTCCGGTTGAAAATTGTATGTTACCACCGAATACGAGGACTGAAGCAGTTTTTCTGAAACCACGTGCACCATTCAAACTGGCTGCCTTCAACGTTCGCACATTTATGCAGGTCGGACAACAGATAGGGCTGGCTATGTCTTTGGAAAGTCTTAATATCGACGTGTGTTGTCTATCCGAGACCCGTATTCAAGACTCTGGTGAAGTACTACAAATTCGCTCTACATCTGTCACTTCGAAAAGCTTGTTTTACGTGCGCTTATCCGGGGACCCTGTGACATCTTCGTCTGGTCTTGTTGGCGTTGGTGTCGCACTAAGCGCTAGAGCTGAGGCAGCACTAGTCGATTGGATCCCCATTAACAGTCGGTTATGTGCTGTTAGATTAGAAAGTTCCATCAAAGTGAGAAGAAATCGGCGTGAGAAACGATGTCTTTTCATCATCTCCGCCTATGCCACAACAGATTGCAGCCCGGGTGCAATCAAGGATGAGTTTTACCACCAGTTATCTGTTCTTCTCCAGAAAGTGCGTTCGACAGATATTGTAGTACTAGCCGGAGACTTGAATGCTCAGGTCGGGCGTCTAGGCACAGAAGAGAGTCGTTTAGGTGGCCGGTGGGTACTCGTTGGTCGCAGGTCAGATAACGGGGACCGTCTACTGCAACTGTGCACAGACCACAACCTGTTTCTGGCTAGCACTAACTTCCGGCACAGTCACCGCCGATGTGCTACCTAGTGTCCTCCCTCTGCATCTCAAGCCTGGACTCAGATTGATCACATCGCGATCAGCTACCGCTGGCGTGGTTGTGTACAAGACTGCCGCTCCTTTTGGAGTACCTATCTGGACTCTGACCATGCCTTGGTCTGCGCCAATCTTGCCTTACTTTTCAGTGGACAACGAAGTGACCACCACCAAAATATTGATGTTAGCAAGCTGGTTGCAACTTTTGTTGCAAATAAGTATCGAACCGAGCTAGCCTCTAGGCTAGCTACCACTCCACCGAAAAGTATAGATGAGCATTGGTTGCAATTGCATGACGCCATGAAAATGGCGGGAACAGTCAGTTGTGGGTTTGCGAAACGTCCCGCTTTTAAGCACTGGGTTTCTTCTGGTTCCTTACAACTCATTGAAGCCCGTCGGTCTACTCCGGGTGACCGTGAGTTTGACCATAAACGAAGGATGTTACGTAATGAAATCCGGCAAAGCTTGCGTAAGGACCGAGAAGCCTGGTGGTTGATGCGTGCTAATGAGCTGGAAGCAGCAGCTGCATCTGGTAACTACCGGAAGCTCTTCCAACTCATCCGAGCCACTGGCAGCAAGAAGTCTAGTGTGAGTGAAACAATCTGCGAGGATGATGGGATGCCAATCACTAACATCCATCGACGTCTTGGACGATGGGCAGAATTCTTCGAAGGGCAGTTCAACTGGCCTGCCGTTCCGGCACCATCGGTCAGACTGTCCTGCCCTCCATGACCGGTGACGACTGATCCACCAAATGAGGCGGGAGTTCGCAAGGAACTCCTACTCTTGAAGCGTTACAAATCACCTGGCCCACATGACTTACCTCCGGCTCCTTTTAAAGATGGTGGTGACTTTCTGATTAAGGAACTGACGACGTTGTTCACAAACGTCTGTGAACTAGAGAGTGTACCAACGTCATGGAATGAGTCGATAGTTGTCCCTATCTTTAAAAAGGGTTCACGTCGTTCCTGTAACAACTATCGGGAAATAAGTTTACTTCCGATTGCGTCCAAGCTATTAGCTTCCGTCATTCTTCGTAAGTTGTTCAAAACCCGAGAAAGATTGACTCGCGAGGAGCAGGCTGGATTTCGTTTTGGTCGGGGATGTATTGATCATATCTTCACCCTCCGCCAAATGTTAGAACACCGCCATACTTTTCAAAGGCCAACAATCGTAGTGTTTCTTGATATCAGGGCTGCCTTCGATTCGTTGGATAGGACTGTTCTCTGGGATTGTCTGTTGAAGAAGGGTGTGCCTGAGAAGTTTATTAACATCCTAAAAGCCCCATATACAAACACCTCAGGCAGAGTGAGGGCATACAACCACCTTTCTCCATTGTTCCATTCGAGCAGTGGGGTTAGGCAGGGTTGCCCAATCTCACCATTCCTCTTCAACTTTGCCATCGACGACATTCTGGAAACAGCTCTGATGAATGTAAGTAATGGTGGTGTGGATCTGTTGCCTGGAGAAAGACTTCTCGACCCTGAGTATGCGGACGATATTGTCTTACTGTGCGATAATGCCCAAGGCATGCAATCCGCACTTAATCAGTTGGCAATCAGTGTCCGTAGGTATGGTATGTGCTTCGCACCTTCGAAGTGCAAAGTACTTCTACAAGACTGGCAGGATTCTAATCCTGTACTCACCCTGGATGGTGAGCAGATAGACGTAGTCGAGAAGTTCGTGTATCTGGGTAGCTGCATAAGTGCTGGTGGGGGTGTGAGTGATGAGATCAATGCACGAATAGTGAAAGCCAGAGCGGCTTATGCCAATCTGGGCCACCTTTGGCGCCTTCGTGATGTTAGTCTGGCTGTAAAAGGTCGGATCTACAACGCGTCGGTGAGAGCAGTTTTGCTCTATGCTTGTGAAACCTGGCCTCTCCGAGTTGAGGACGTTAGAAGACTCTCTGTGTTCGATCATCGCTGTCTCCGAAGGATTGCTGACATTCAGTGGCAACACCATGTCAGTGATGCAGAGGTTCGGCATCGTGTGTTCGGGCACAGATATGATAATGCAATCGATGTCACCATCTTGAAACACCGACTTCGGTGGCTTGGACATGTTCTCCGAATGTCGTCCCAGAGAATTCCACGTCGTGCATTATTTGCGGACTCTGGGACTGGTTGGAAGACGTGGAGAGGTGGTCAGTGTATGACATGATGCCGTGGCATGAAAGAAAGCTGCAAAGGACTGGCTTGTGTTGGTCCTTCACGACTCCCTGGTTGGGGTCCGAGAGATGGTGCTACACAGTGGCTAGAGACGTTATCAGATATGGCTCAGAATAGAAGCCAGTGGCGATCCTGCTGTAACCTTCTTTTACTTTCTTCATAAAAAGTGGTTGTATCTTCCATAACTGAAAGATCACTTCTGATTGTACCTTTCCGTTTCCTCCATTATTATTATTACTACACTACCTTACACTAATCTGTTCGTTATTGTTCTTTTTTTCTCTCTTCGAATTCTCATTGTTTTGTGTGGCGCATACATATTTGGTGCCCTCTTGTACTAATATTTATGTGTCCAAATAAATAGATACATAAACGTACTAATTATACCAAGTAGTTTTAGATGACAAATCAAGGTCGAAAACCAAACAAGTCCTCCGATTAATACAACAAAGAAATCAAACGTAACACATCTGAATAATTTTAAAATCTAATTTTAAGATGGAACCTGATTTAAATCTACATCCAAAACAAACATGATCATGTGAAAAACCATTAGAAAATGAGTGGCAATAAACTCCACTTTCACAAATTTAATCCTGCACTAGGAGATCAAGTAAAATGGAGCAAGAATTATTGTTTTAATTGTCGTAATCCATGATGTAAGGCGTATTTTGCTACTTGTTGGTTTTGCTGGCTTATATGAAATATGTAAAGTTTTCTACGATGAAGATACTACTCTATTATGCTAGTGTCAAGTGTACGGCAGTCAGTTCTGACGGAAGAAAAGTCACAACATAGTGGACGTGCTTCCAAGTAATTCTATAATAGAATTTATCTCGAAATATCTACAATTTAGTGACTAAATAAACTAAAACATAACCGTAATTACTGACAGCGACACACCTGAATGACTCAGAAACGTGGAATTTATTTCCAGCTGTTGATACTACATGAATGTAAACATGACCATTATTTCAGTTTGTGATACATTAAGTTTACGTAACAGTGTTGAGTTTTAAAACCACCCGAAACTGAAGAATGGAAATGCCCCCTCGATACGTTGCTTTCAGATTCAGATAACGTAATTGTAGCTATGACATTCGATCGCACGAAAAATACAAATAATTAGAAAATATGGGATTAATCATAAATCAAAATAGTAGAAACAAGGGCACAAAAGTCACCTAGATGAGCTAACTTCCGTAAATCCTTTGCGTGTATTGTAATGTCTTCGGAACCTAGTAACATTTTTGCCTCTTCTTTTAATCCCAAGGGAAACAGTACAGGATCACGCACTGGCTGTCTATAAAAATAAGAAAAGTACATGAGTCTCGGGAATATTTGAACCAAGATCCTCTTACATCAAAAGCATTTGATTAAGTAATTGGTAAATGAAGTCTGTAAATAAAAAATGTGGGCTTCGTATTATCCGAGTTTGATTCGTATTCGCAAGACAGACAAAAGCTTGTACCACAGCTTACTATTCATAGTAAAACGAAAATATTCGGCAAAGATGTTTAATAGACAGGAACCAACTGCATATAACATCATTATTATGTTTCATATCACTATTGCTATCAGTATTCGTTCGACCATCAAAATCGGGTATAGAGCTTTAGTGCTTTCAACATCGCTACAAAACGACCATTTCACCAGGCGTTTTGGATTCACAGATCAAGGAGAACATGAGACAACTGGTGCATTGGGTTGGTCCAACCGCCTTCCAAAGCTTCAGGAATTTCTGAAAAAATAATTTGATTAGTTGACCAGTTAAAGTCAATACTGTCCCTAATGATGACTGAGATGAAACAGAAAATCTACTATTTGATCACAGAAATATTGCCAGCATCTGCTGGCATCACCGGGTAAGCAATAATGAGGTTAGATACAAGGTATTAGGGAATGATGGTAAATCAGTTGATGAGGTTGTGAATATTCATCGACTGAAATGGTTAGGCAACGTGTTACGTATGCCTGAACACCGATTACCACGACACGAAATGTTGACAAGTGTTGGAGATGGTTAGAAGTTAGGGGCGGCCAAACTAAAACTTGGCATCAGTCATCGAAGTCACTAACTTCTGGTTTGAGCTATGTTGGTAAGTGCAGACTACTTAGTTGAGGTTCACGTGACTGTTGTAACTAATGGTTGGAGACACTGGGTGACATGGCTCAGAATCGATCAGTGGCGTCGGTGTATACATTCTTTGTCTTCCCTTCCGCTTTATATTTTTGTTTTTACGAACAAGTTCTTCCTTTATGTATATCTTTATACACAATCTTTCTTCCACGTATTACTACCATCGAAGTAACTACTCCTATGAATTTGATGTCTACTTTGTTATGCTAATGAGTTGTGGCAACTTGGGCTGATGCATATATGTGCCTGGTCCTACATTGTAGCTGACTGACTGAGTGGGTTCGCCAGATCTTGCATTTTTTGTGTGAAAATAATGTGAGAACGAGATCGTGGAACTTCAGTTTACTCATCAACCGAACGAAGCGGACAAACAAGCTTCATACGAAATTTGCTATAAGTTCCGATTGACTGTGTGTAAAATTCTTACAGTATTCTGCAAGCAAATGCTATGACCATAAATTCTACACTGTTCAACGACTGATTTCGAATTTACTTCTATTACGTGACATTAGGTTGGTTGAATCACTTCAGGACACTTTTGTTGGCCTACAAAATACGAGATTCGCATAGCATAATCGGAATTCAGAAATGTTAATTGAAAGTAGTGGACAATAATACGTTTAAGCATGATCTGTTACAGCTTATCCATTGAGTTACGGATGAAGCAACTCACGAATTAAATTGGAGGTGATGATGATGGAAGATAGCTCTAGATAAACATAAGTTGACACCTGTGTGAATTTGAAAATAATCACTGCTACCCAACATGTCCATTCAGTTTTAAAGAAAGAATTATTAGGAATAATGCAAAATATGCCTTAGGTGAAAAACCGGTTACAATATATCTTATGTAATCCACCACTCTCGTTATTCTGAACAGCTAATTCAAACCATCAATAATTAGTCTAATAGTTACACTAGCTAAAATAATTGTAACTTGAGATTTCATCATGCCATATAGGTAATTAGGAAACAGAAAAAAAAATTAAAATTTAGGTTCTGGGGGGGACAGTAGTACTGATAACTATCCTGGGGTATGCTGCCTTACCGCAGACAGAAGAATGAATTAAGGTAGGTGTGTTGTATGTCACAACACGTTTCATTGATTTCCAAAACCGATAGTAAGGTATAAATGCCGTGAAGTCTACGGAATAAAATAAAAAGAAGGTACTTACAACAATCTGTGTAAGACTATATCCAATTAGGTGCCTTTTGGGATTTGTTATCTCGCCAGCAGATTGACGAGAATAATACCAACTCAAATTGTGTTTTTTAAGAAGTGCTTTTCCATGACGTGTGTTTCAAAGTAAAAAGAAATTGAGATGTAATTAAGGTAAGCTCATGGGCTTGAGTTAAGTAATAGTCGTTCTGTCTACGATTTGGATAAAACCGTAGTACTGCTAATTCTCAAACCCAATGAGGCCCAAAAGTAAAGTTTCCATGTTGCTGAATTACACTGATTTTTAAAGTTCAACTCAAAATACTTGTCTATTTGTTATAAATGAAGTTGGCATTCATATATTTCATGTACGAAAAACAAAAATCAACAGTGAGGCACCAGGAAAGGGGGTTACACTGAATAGCGCTATAAACCGAAAGACATTGAGTTTTGAAAGAATGCGTACACACCATAATATGGCACTCATATTTAACACCCATCTTACAATTATACAAAATAAGATTCCCTAAACAGGATTTGAAAAATCGGCAAACTTCCTGAAACCTTTTGCTTACCCAAAATTAAATATGCAAATGCAAACTTTCTAAGATACCTCTATTCTTTTCATCAAAAATCGTTAGTGTGGCTCAATGAATGATTCTAACACATATAAATCAGTTAACGATGAAATTGACAAACAAATACCATAATTAAAATAACCCACTGTCATTGAATAGAAATAAAAATTTAGCGAAAATCTTTTCGACGAAATCACTTACTCAAGTTGTACATTCGTATAGTTGTAAAGTAAATATGTCTATAAAGGATAGAAAAGATTGCATCATGAATTGATACGAGACTCTAAATATCAATATTATCTTTCATAATTCTGACCGGTGGATTCTTTTCACTTTCCTATTCTTCTCTGACCCCTCACTATTACGCAGTCTCACTTCATATTTAGTCTCGTATCACTTCATGATGCAACCTTTCCTATCCTCCTATTGAAACACCAAAGCTATGAATCTGGAAATACAGTAACGAGCTTTCACCCTCAAATACCTGGAATTGAATACTCATAGAAATTTATTCAAGCGAACTTTGATGCAATTTAACAGCTCCCATCCTTTTAACTGGGGAAAACTTGATTGGTAATCGCCTCAATAAATTACGTAAAAAAGGCTTAAGGTCAGCCACCAAATTCCAAGGAACCTTTTGAGCTCATTCCAGAAGTATTTTGAGAGTTGCCTTATTTGGCTTAACAAGCCCTAACTTTCTAAAGAATACCTTAAGTCAACCGGATAGAACCAGATGCTAGAAACCATCTCATGCATCTAGTGATGAGACTTATTTGAATCAACCCATTGAATACACCAACAGAGAAAGTTATCATGTTTTGAGGCAGAAAACTTTATATGATTAAAAAGTAGGTAATCAGTTGACAAATTACTGATTTAAAAACTTGAACATCTTCGTATGACTTTGTAAACTTTCTGTTTTAGAAGGCAAGCAAAGTGAGAGCATTTCAACTCTAAATTCACCGGTCAGTTATTTGAAGATTTCAACCAGGTCACCTCAGATCTTCGTAATGATAAAAAGAGTCAATCGTCTGACGACAATTTAGAGATTGTAGTCATTTACATTTTTCACAACACATCGTCTTATTTGAAAATCAACCAGCTCATTTTATGCAATGCACCTGTTTCGGAGATAATCTTAAAACTCAAAATATCGAGAAAACAAAGTGAATAAAACTTCACCAATACGATCTTCTAAAAGCCATATCAACTGTCTTCAACCATTGGCTACGATAATCATAAAGATTTAATATGCAGTCTACAAATAACAACATAGCCCAGTTCAACAGTCAATAACTTCATGAATTGATGCCACGTTCTAATTTGATCCCTCTGGTTTTCTTTAAACCTACTTCTGAATTACTAAGCATTACTCGTCGAGATATGCGGTGGTGTCAAGTAACCGGTGAATAACCACAATGTTGCTAACTTGATGGTCCAAACATATGCGTGCAATACTTTGAAGGTATCTATGATTAAATACTGGCAATCTAACAATATTCTCTGGTTTTGAAGGTCACATTTTACAGTCATAAAGTATGATAGAATGAACTGCAGAACAATATGTCTGTCCTTAAAATATTTGAAGTGCACCTCGACTACCTAAATGAAATGTTGGTAAAACCCGTTCAGAATTATGGATTACATACTGAGATTTTGCCAGGCACTAACTCACTGATGGAACTCCCACGACTAGTGAAGCGGTCGACACACTGAATTACTTCACTCCTTATCATTAGTTTCGGACTTGACATAGATCAACCGCGAAGTCATATCGTGTTTTCAAAGAGAAATCCATCCCAAACACGTCAGCATTGTTATTCAAGGTGATCAGTATCCTCATCAAACAGGACTACTCATACCCTTATTCTACGTTAATGAGTGGACCATCTGGAAGATCAAACTCCAAAATCTCAGAAGACACAAGCGTGATCTCCAAGATGATCTGAATGACGAAGTTACATAAAATCAAGAAGTATCCAGACCTGGTTTACACTACTTGACGTGTCACGAAAGGCTCCGCACCAGCTTCTCAGCTTTTAATACTGCATATAAATGAAGTCCCAAGTATAGTTGAGTCCCCAATGCTACTATACGCTGACGATGTAAAACTCTGGAGAAATAACAGGAGATGCAAACCCATGTGCATTTCGGGCGGACTAAGATGTTCTGGCCAGTTGATCTAAAAAATACCTGATGCTTATCGACGCCGCCAAGTGTCTACATATTTATTATCTATTTATTTGGACATAAATATTAGTACAAAGGGGCACCGAATACATACGCATCACGCAAGTCACTTGATTGTGTGTGGGCCGTAATACTACCCAGGTGCCCAGACTGAAGCAGGTGTCTACATGCACTTTCGGGATACAAAGGTAAGTAGATACGACATAGGGGAAGAACCAGTGCCCGTAGTCCAGTCTCACAAGAATCTCAGGATGGCAGTGAGCCGTGGCCTTAAGACCACGACCCACTACCGCGAGGTCGCAGCTAGGGGATCTAGAACTCTAAAAGTTTTAAGACAGACATTTACCAAGTTGGACACCAGTATGTTCTCTACCGTATACACAACCTTAGTGAGATCCAAACTTGAAAACTACGTTCAGACTGCAAGCTCCTGTCTAAAATGTGACTCGGATATCCTGGGAAAAGTGCAGAGGGCGGCTGCCCGTGCAATCCATGAACTCTTGGGCTTACAATACAATGAGCGGCTTGAGAATCTAGACCACTTTACTATATACTACCGCAGATGAAGAGGTGATCTGATTTTGACGTGAAGAGCAATTAAAATGATTTTGGACGTAACACATCCGCTCTTTTTTTTCTACCAGATCAGGATATTTCAGAAGGCATAGTAGGAGAGTAGAAAAGCCAGGGACGAACAAAATACCCGTGGCATTCAGGTTTTCATATCATCAATTCTTGGAACTTATTACCCGAAGCAGTGGTGACCTCACATCCAGTTGGCTTTTTCAGGAGAAGACTAAACGTTCATAGAAGCTTACTAGAAAAGAAAAGACAGGTCGTAGGCCTTCTAATCTATTTACGCGCATCTGAATCTAAACTTAATCTGGATAACACAATATATATTTGATTACTTATAAAACGAAAAATAAGTTCCTGAAGATAGACTAAAGTTAAACTCATGTACAGAAACCTAGATACTCACAGAGAAGGCACTTCCACATTGCTAACCGGCATGCTCAAGTTGCTATAACGCGAATCTTAGAAACACCCGCGAGAAAACACAAATCCGACTCAATCAGAAGGATAGTTAGTCGATCGACCTATGTTAATCCATTCAGCTTTTTTCTCGTAAAGTAATAGCTTATGCTCAAAAATATTTATTGATGGGGCTGATACAAGTCCTTTGAATATGGAGTTCCAGACACTGACTATTCGGTCAAAAGACAGAAACCCGCGCTGAGCTTATCAGATTGTGGTTTTTGGACTTTCTTTCTATGGCCTTGGAGAGCATTAGCTCTGGAGGGCGCAAAAAGATGCGATTTATTAACATCCTATTCGTTATTAAAGATACGGGATGCCGATATAAAGTCACCTCACATTCTGTGGTACGATTAAGGTAAAGGTTCAGGTGTTTTGAGCGCCCATCGTAAAAGATTTGGGAACCACTCTTCACTAACTTTGCTCCCGCACATTGATGACTCTCATGTTTGTCAGTAACAGTAATATGACTTGGATCAGTACCTTGGACACCGAACTCTAGGTGTGGTCTTACATAGGTGGATTATAAAACCCGAAACAACTCTTCGTCAAAACATATGAATGCTCGGTGAAGTGACCATAACGCCCGAAAACCCTTGGCAGCTACTGTATTGCGATGCATTGTTGTTTTGAATTCATGACTTATTGTTATAATTAAGTCTTTGTAATCCCGCACATATAAACAATCTACCTTTGACAATATACTGGTAACTACTAATCTGTTCGATATGCATGAGCACACTCTTTCTAGAAGTGATTTCTGAGTCTCGACTTTGGAGCCATTTAGCTTATTCGTCTAGGTCGGCTTGAAGGCCAAGATGATCACCACCAGTACTTATTGTTCCCCGGATCTTGATATCATCTACAGAGGATAATAATTGACGACTTAAGCAGTCCCGGTAATTCATTGACACAGAGGGAAAATATATGACCTAAAATGATGCCTTAAGGTGATAATAATAAGAGAGGCAGTTCAGTTAGGAAAAGTACAACGAGAAAGACATTACGTTCATTTTTATGAAGTAAAAGAAGGTTACAGCAGGATCGCCACTGGCTTCTATTCTGGGCCCTATCTGAGAACATCTCTAGCCACGGTGTTGAATCATCTCTAGGACCCCAATCAGAGTCGTGAAGGACCAACATAAGCCAGTCCTGTACAGTTTTCTTTCATACCACAACACCATGTCAGACACGAACCTCTCTGCTTTTTCCAACCGGTCCCAATATCGGCAGATGATGCACGACGTGAAATTCTCAAGGACGACATTCGTAAGATGTGTTCAAGTCACCGAAGTCGATGTTTCAAGATAGTTACACTAATTGAATCATAATCGCTGTGCCCGAACACACGGTGCCGAACCTCTGAATTACCAACATGGTGTTGCCACTGAATGTCAGCAATCCTTCAGAGACAACAATGATAGAACACAAAGAGTCGTCTAACATCCTCAACTCGGAGAGGCCAGGTTTTACAAGCATAGAGCAAAACTGCTCTCACCGACGCGTTGTAGATCCGACCTTTTACAGCCAGACTAACATCACGAAGGCGCCAAAGATGGCACAGATTGGCATAAGTCGCTCTGGCTTTCACCATACGTGCATTGACCTCATCACTCACGCAACCACCAACACTTACACCGCTACCCAGACACACGAACATCTCAACTAAATTAAAAACTACTCACCACCAAAAGTGAGTCCAGGCACAGGATCCTGTCAGTTTTGTGAAAGTACTTCGGAATCAGGATGTGCAAAGAACATGCCATAGCTACGAACACTGACTGTCAACTGATTAATTGTGGATTGCGTGATTTGGCTATCACCGCATAGTAAGATAATGTCATCTGCGTACCCAAGGTCGAAGTCTTTCTCCAGGCAACAGATTCACACCACGATTACTTATATCCACCGGAGCTGTTTCCAGACCGTCAAACTCGCGACCAACCAGAGTAGACCAGTAGGTTTCAGTGAGATGTAAGGAGCATGAAGAAACCCGTTGCCTATGAATGGAACGTCACGCGAAGCCTGAAGCAACTTTACTTGCCATTTTCATGACGTCATGCGATCACAGCCAATGCTCATATATAATTTACGGAGGGATGGTAGCTAACTTCGAATCTAGCTCGGTTCGACATTTACTTGCAACACAAGCTACAACCAATTCGTCTACATCGATCCATTCTGGAAGATGAATTTGTTGACCAATGAAAACGTAGTGAAATTGGTGCAAACAAAAGCATGACAATAGTTCATGTAAGTACTTCAAAAGGAGCGGCAGTCTTGTACACAACCAAGCCAGCGCAGCTGATAGATATGTGATCATACTGAGTCCATTTTTGAGGTGCAGAATGGGGTACAAAGTAACACATCGTCAATGACATTACTGGTAGTTAGTCCTAGTCAGAAGTGGGTTGTAGTCTGCGCAAATTTGCAGTAGATGGTCATCGTTATCTGACCTGTGTCCAACAAGTCCACCCCCACCCAAAGGACTCTCTTCTCTGCCTCGATGCTCGACCTGAGCATTCAAGTCTCCATCTAGTACTACAATATATGTGAAACGCACTTACTGTGGAAAAGCTGTTAACCGGTGGTAAAACGCATTCTTCATCTTATCCAGTCTGCAATATGTAGTGTCGTAGGCGGAGATGACGAAAAAACATTGTTTCAAATACCGATTTATTCACATTTTAATGTAGCTTTCTAATATAGTAACACACAACCGACTGTTAATGGGGACCCAAAAAAATAGTGCTACCTCATCTCTGGAGCTTAGTGCGACACGAACGCTAGGAAAATCAGACGAAGATATAACAGAGTCCATGTATAAGCGCACGTAAAACAAGCTTTTCAAGGCGACAGATGGAGAGCGAATTTGATGTACTCCACTAGTTTTGAATACGGGTCTCGGATAGACAATAGATGTCGACTTTGAAACTTCCAAATAAATAGCCAGGCCTATTTATTGTCTGATCTGCATTAGTGTGCGAACGTTGATGGGGGCTAGGTTGAATGACATACGTTTTTTAGAGAGACTGCTTCAGTATTCGTATTCTGTGGTGGCACTCAACTTTCGACCAGTCGGTGACTTGAGATCATTTAGATAGGACAGGGCTTCCACCATACGCGAACTGCTGTATTAGTTGAAAATTAAAGTAATCAAAATGAGAATAAAAGGGAGTACATCAGTGACGTGGTATGAAAGAAATAATTACGAATGTCATCAAATGGTTGTGAATAAAATTTTTCTGAATGAGTGTTAAAGCAAGAGTAATATTTCCGGGATTATTCATCGCTGATTCGTGTGTGCTACAATATTGTCCGGGCACCAAAATCAAGGCAGGTGGTTTTCTTAGAGGGCCACACCCGGGGCCCTTTACCTAAACGTTCAACTCACAAGGTAGTAGGGCAACTTTAGGATATAGCAACTAACCTACAACCGATTTTGATCATGGTTAATTTTGGCTAAGCTCTTTTTCTAACTTATTTAACAAACAATATTATTTGTACCGTTGTGATTACTGGATCACATGAAAGACTATAGCTAAAATGTTGATTGCTTAAATATTAATCGATGATTCATCCTCCTCCCCAATCATGTATGTATTCAAATCCTATTATTAGCCCTTGCTTTGCTGCACCCCTATAAATTTGCTTATGTAATTGCTCGCATATACTTATTCTCTTCTCCGCTTCAAATACGCTCTATGTGCTAATAGCTTTGTGATCTGTGTTATCCTCAAATAAAGTGTAGCTGCTGTTTCTCATTGCCTTCTGATTTCAAACACCGTTGATAGTTTATATTACAATGGTTATCGAGTTGATCGATTAACTAAGCAGAGCCACTACAAGGAGATGCAGTCCCATGGATCATACGCCATTTATTTTCTGGAGCTCATGTGCACCATTGGTTTGGAATCAGGGTTGTTCAACTCCACTAGGTGGATTCTCCATATCCACTAACCATGTTAAAGCGCCGGACATTCTCTTTTCGTCATCTCAATTTCGTAAACAACACACCGCCGCGAGATAGTGAGTAGGACTGACAGTAACTGTATACTCGACGCCATGTGAGAACGCTTCGAGAGAATCGACTCTTTCTACCATCGACCGTACAAGGGCACTTAGGGCCCATTTTCTATTAGTCTGTTGATTGATGCCCACGTGTATTAACGTATTGTAGTACTGATTAGTACTCCTAGCTCACTAGCTCGATCGATACTGATGATGTCACAGGTTTACAGTGTTTGACAACGCTTCTACCAGTAACACCTAATATATTTCGTTCCCGCCCAGAGAAATCAAAAGACAGAGTCGAGGAGATCGGAAGAGTATATTTGGCGATGACCAATATATCGGAATTCTCTGATCTAATCTGGCTAGCGATTGCGGTAGACGTTCAGCACGGCGTTACCACACGTGATCTGGTGCGGATGCCTGACCGAGCGCCTTCAGCTAGGTGAGTCCACTAAAACATATGGTCAGCATCCAATGTCGAAAACTTAGTGCTATTTATTTTGGGGATTTATTTACCGCTACAGATCACTCCCCCCCTAGTGGGGCAGTGACGACCCTAAGACGTGGCCAGCCAGAAGTTTAAACCCAACGAGTTTGTCGTTGGTAAACACTCTTCTGATAGCTTACTAAATTTAGCGGCGTCTGGTCGTCTTTCCTTACTATATGGGACGGAGGTACAACATAGTAAAAAAAGAAAATGTACATGGAAAATTTCGGATCCTCATAAACGTCATTGTTCTTTTCCAGCCGTCCTGGAAAAGAAAAAATAAAATGTAAGTGCGTGTCGAAATACACTCGTATGTGCGTAAAAGCACAATGTCGGCGGAAAAAAAATGGAAAATAAACTCATGAACACGTAATAGCGTTAAAAAAATTGTTTTTTTGTTTTGTTTTTTTTAAAATAGAAATAAAAATGTATAAGCATATTAAAATTGTTTTTTTTAAAAAAATAATATAAAATGTCGAGAAGTGCCTTACGTGCAATAGTCGTTTAGATGTTCTGGAAATCTCACCCTTCTTCCAGAACGCGTCGTTTTAAGTTTATGTTCGGATACTGTCGAAG